ACGTCCAAACTATGGCAAATTTAAGGCATTAGTATTAAGTGCGAAAAATTTCAGGTGCATTTAAAAAATATCCACAAATGTGGGCGCTTGCGGTTAAAAGTTTATAACTCGCAAAGTTGAACAGATTTGAGGCTATAATTCTTGGTATGTGTAGAAAAGGGTCTACTTATTATACGTAAGGATTTCTAATCGATTTGCAGCTTTTGTTCAATTTTTCCATGTTTTTGAAATTCCGCTGTAATTAAGGAAATAGGCATAAACGTCCATGGTTGCAGTTAGAAATTCATAATTTTCAAATCACTTCCCATTTAAGGCTGCATTTTGGAAACATTTGTAGAGGAAACCGTAGTTGCTGAGCCTCAAAAATTCAATCTATTTGAAGTTTTCGTTCAACGTCTGTTATTTTTTTAAATTTCGATGTAGTTAAAAAATAGCTCCAAATGTGCGCGCTTGCGGTGGAAATTTCACCACTTGCAAACCTGAACAGATTTAACGCTACAATTTTGGACATATCTAATCTAAGGGTCTTGTTAATTAATCCGGAAAATCCTAGTGGATTTAGAACTTTCGGTAAGTTGATGTAATTTTTTGAAATTACGGTGTAATTCAGCAAAGGACCTTAAACGTGCACGTTTGTGTTTAATAGTTCACAACTTGCAAACTGCTTTAGATTTAAAGCTGGCGTTTTGGCAATTTGTTTTAGGAGCCTTATTTATAAAGTGTGAAAAAATTCAATCAATTCGGCACCTTGGTTCAGTTCCTGTATTTTTTTAATCGAACGTAATTCGGGAAATCGCTTCGAATGTGCACGCTTTTGTTTAAAAAATTGCTACTCCCAAACTTGACCAGATTTATGGTTGCGGTCTGGAGATTTGTTCCAAAAGTTTTGGTTTTAAGTAAGGTTAAAAATGTCAATCAATCCCAGGCCTTGGTTCAGTTTCTGAAGATTTTCGAAGTTTCGGTGTAATTCAGGAAACAGTCTTTTCCTACGCCTACACGCTTTTGGTTAAAAACTCACACCTTGCCAACAGGCAGATATTTGATCCTCAGATATCCTTATATGTACAAATTTTTAATTGATGCGAAGTTTTCTGCAGGTTTCTGTAAATTTTAGAAATTCCAACATAATGAAAAATAATTCCTAATGCCTATGCAGGAGTCAAAAATTTACTAAATGAAGAAATAGTACGGAAAACATTGCTTTTGAATAAAATTTGAGGTGAACTGACGGACATTTTTGCATGTCTATACCCGCTTCATACACTTTCCAGCTTCCAGCTTGTAGGAAATACACATGAGAAACTGTACTCAACTATTTGCGATTTAAAAAGATGGAAAAAGACAATGTTTTCAAGATAAAAGCGAAAAATCCTTGCGAAAACCTTTCAAAGAAATTGCTCACGACTTCTGTATAAGCGCATTGTCCAGATTTAATCTGTCGGACATAATCTGGCAAAATAGGACACACATTTATCTATTTTTCATCCCAAGTTTGCCGGGAAAGTGATTCAGGATCGATAACCGAAGCCCCCTTTCGCATTTAAATCAAATACATATTTACATTAAATGGTAATATTATATACATAAAATAATCTACTAGGCAAACATCGATTAATGTCGATGCGGTGTTTGTTGAACAGAGATATGGATTTATTTCTATGCAGATTAATTAGAAATTCTTTCTATCGCTTTCCCAATTAATAATTCATTTAAATGCCCCGCTTTTGCATCAATTCATCAGTGCAGTCATGTATAATTACGGCATGTCAACAGAGCCATATTGGTTTGACTGTTACGGTTAAAGCGTTTCTAATGGGCTCAGTCACTGGAAATTCAACTTTTCCAGATTTTTGCCATCAAAACCAATCACTTGTTCGCTGATTAGAGACATCGTTTCAAAAACTCCAATTTAAGAACAGGGGAATTAAATCAAGCTCTAACTCTCTACCTCGAAACGTGCTCACGAACATGAAAACTTCCACTTGTCCAAACACAGCTCTAATAGGATTTCCAGTCGAACGAATTAATCGGCTTCTAACGGTAAAAGGAGAGATTTCGGTTTTTTTCGCAAGGTTTCAATCATTCCCAGGCCTGAATATCGGGAAACAACGATGTTTTTTTGGCATTCTGCCAGAACTCCTATGACTGCAACAGGCAAAGTTATTTGCGGCTGAAATCAGTTTCACCGAGCCAGAAAAATTTACAACGGAACGATGTCGATTCGGCTCTTATAGAGCAACATTTCACTGCAGATTAGGTAACAATCGATACGTTTCCATTGGCGAAGCCAAAACGAGAAACAGCATGTACAATGTTTTATTCCGCACGACAAAATAATTTCGTTTATTGGCCAGATTCTGACTGAAGGATTTCCTGTTTAGAAGCACTCGCATGTAAAAACCCGCAGGATTATCTGGTGTTAAACGACGCCAATTTAGCCATTAAAAGCCGCATCCGTCGTATCTATATCTGAAAGGCAAATTGATTCGACTTGCCAGATCCAGCAAATCTCTTCGTGTTCCGTTCGATTGCGTTATTATCAGCTCGACTTAACAAGCCGTAGGGATCGAAATTTGTCTGAATTAACGTCTCAGTTAGATCGGCACTTATCAGTTGCCTTACATGTTCCCCCAATTAATTTAGGATTGCTATTTATTAGCTTCTCAGTTGGGGTCTGATGAAGTGCTCAGCTTTAGCTGCAAATCGAGAACTTCTTCGCTTAATCAATTTGCTGAAGTTGAAGTTTAACTGTGCTGGATATTTTATTAAGGTCGCAAATTTACTTAATTTCTGAAAGTAATTTGCTTTATTATTCGATTGGCTTGGAAATATTCATTAGGCGATGATTTAGGTTTGCCTAACCACATTGCGAAATCTTCGCCCCCCCTTGGATTAAGCCATGAACGGTTGCAAAATTAGACAACCGAATTTACGGTTTCCTCGTCAGTCCGAAAACTTTGCTTGTTGATATTGCCGGCTTCCGCGGAAATCTTTTAATCAACAAAGTTTAAACAGGGTTTTCACTTTGTTTCCGGGTCGTTAATAAGTTTTGTTAGGAACAGTTCAGTTTTCTTCGGAACTTTACAAACATCTCACTTAGACAATACACAACACCAAAGTGATATATTTGGAAAAAAATTCAAAAAACTATTGAAGATGGACGATTTTGCTTCCTTTATCGGTCAATGTTCATGTTCAATTATGTGTTAACTGTGGGCTTTGAATTACTTTTCAAAACTTGTTTTGCTTCCTGACGATTGCTATGAAGACAGCGGAATCAAATTTTCCTCTTGATAATTTTCCTGTTTTGATCATAAATATGTTTTTGATTAAGTTTTGTTCTTGATTGGAAAACTCACATCCTTCATCCGTCTAATATCCGCTCCAGAGGTAAAACGCATTAATTTTAGATTTTTTGCTAGTTGCCTCGCGCCTCACTTTTTTATTAATCGCGTTTGTTACAAATGTGTTCAATTTTATTAATAAAGCAACCCGAATAGATAATTTTCTCGTAAAGTAAATCTTTTGATACAAAACAAAGGTTTGGCTATTGAAAGCCTCGGAAAATACAGCAAAGTTGAATTCTATGCTGAAAATACAGCTAATTGATCCCGGCCTGTAAAGGGACAATTAATTACATTAAACTCATCTTCAGTCCCATTCCTGAATCGTTTAAATGATAATGCGGAATTTTCGTAACATTCAAGTGAAGGGTGTCCTTTTGTTGCGTAATGTGATTTAAGCAGCTTTTTAGGTAATTAGCAAGTTTTTGCCTCCCAGGTAATAATGCGGCATGTTAAGTGAAAACTTACAAAAAATCGTATTAAATTGCAAATTAGGCGACGCCTTGATTAATTCCAGAAATTTTTTAAGCACATTTGTGTTAACTTGGTTTCTTTTCCAGACCAAGCCTATCCTGCATCAGAAGATGATTATTCTGAAAATTCCATCGACAGAACTCTTCAACAGCCAGCAGAAAAGTATGTAAAATTTAGGCTTTAATAGTTGCGTTAGTGTGCTAAAACAGTAATAGCAAGTGACTACTCAGCGACTGCCATTTTGCCTAAAACAATCCCGTTTTGCCTGTCTGATGTTAAACGCAATCTTTCTCTGAATTACAGCTAATTTTCGGCTAAATTCCCGAAAGGAATGAGTCATTGTGCTCAGTTTAGAATAAATTTAATGTTTCTCTCGGACCATGCAAATTTGCTTTTCATTTTAATGCTAAATATAACGTTCATATATACGAATCTCTGAGTTTTGCTAATTGGCGTTTACTTTATCGTTGGCTGCTAGAGCAAAGAGTATTCAGTGCTATTACTTTCGCTAAATAAATCGTCGTAGGCGCTTGAGGCTTTTAACGAAATTACAATCAATTATATAACCACATCCAGTGAATAATATGAGTGTGCTTAGTAGAGGTAGTTGAGTAGATATAGAGCGCTTGATGGTGTAAAATTATAATTCAGATACTTTTTTATTGCATTAAACGGTTTTAACTTCAGCACAAATTCATGTAGCTGAAATGTGGCCACTAAAGTTCATTTAAGGACAGATTTATACACAGCAACTGGTTTCCGTAATCGGGCTAGACTTTTTGCAACAAATATAAGAAGCGTGTTTTATCTCCCATCTACTTAGCTCTCAATTCTCTTACTTTTATCAGCTAACTTTAGCAACTGGAGATAAACTTCTATGTTTTTAAAACTTTTCCAAGGATAACGCAGAAATATTGAGCGAAGTTCTAACAACTGCAGTTAGAACATCTCATTCGGGCAAAGATAACTAAAGTAATCCCCTTAAAAACTTGACATAAATTTTTCTTTTGTTGCGTTAAATTGAATTATTAATGTTTTTATTCTGCAATATCTAAAATATTTGTAAACAATTTCTGTTAGAAATGTTAAACAATTTTGTACCAGCTTTAATTTTGGCACCAAAAAAACTTATTTAATTCACAATTGGGGCCGAATCGGAAAACTCGTAGCCCGCATCGTTCTAACACTAATAATAATAAGTCGAAAAACTCAACATTTTTGCATTTTTTCTATTCAAATTTAAATTGTAAATTTTATAAAAAATTGTTTACGAACCTACCTGATTATTTCGCAGGATTGATTTTCCGAGTGTTTCCTAATATTAGGTTTTGATCCCGTTTGGCTTAGAAAAAACATTATATAGGAATTGAAAAAATTCGTTTATGCACGAAAATTTTTATCTTGTGCTTTAATCCAATTTGCTGGGCTGACCAATATAAAGCCAGATATTTCTCAATTCTACTTTGTTTTCCTTGTGTAATTAGTTCCGGATGTCTACTAAATTAAAGATGTGCTTATTCGCTATTTTAAGCAAAATTTGCAACACTCTAAGCCTATCAGTTTGGAGAGTAAACATTTTTTTCAAGAGCTTGCACGTTTCCCAGTTAAAATCCGCCTGTAAATTCGCAATTTTCTGAAAAATCATCCGCGCTCACTATAAAAGCGCCATGGCCTTAAACAGACACATCTTCTCTGAACGGAGCTAAAATTTCAACTTTCTAAACCTTCCAGTTTGGGAATTACGAATTTTTTACGGAAAGTACGAAAGAGCTTGCAAATTTCCAATTGAAAAACCGCCAGTAAATTCGTAATTTTCCGAAAAATCATATGGGATTTAAATAAAGCACAATTTACAGGCCCTTAAAGGCACTCGTTTTCTCTGAATGGAGCAAAAACTTTAACTTTCTAAGCGTATCAGTTTAGACAGTAGGAAGTTTTTATCAAGAGCGTAGGATTTTTTCAAGAACATGCATATTTCAAACTTAAAAGCCGTCAGTAAATTCAAATTTTTTTGAAAAATTATCCGCGATTTTCGTAAAAAGAAAAAGATACACTTATTCTCTGAATGGATCAAAAATTTCATCTTTCTAAACCTCTCAGTTTGGAAAATTCGAGTTTTTATTCAAGAGCTTGCAGATTTCCCAGTCGAGAGCCGCCAGTAATTTCACAATTTCCTGAAAAATCATCTGGGATTCATATAAAAGTGCAATTCACCGGTTTTAAAGTGACACTTATTCTCTGAACGCAGCAAAAATTTCGCCATTCTGCTCGTCAAAGCGCAATTCACAGGGCTTTAGAGATACACTTTGTCTCTGAATGAAGCAAATACTCTTTCTTTCTACTTTCTAAGCATATCAGTTTTCAAATTAAGTACTTTTGTGTCAAGAGCATGCAGATTTACAATTTAAAAGTCGCCAGTAAATTTGCAATTTTCTGAAAAATCATCCGGGATTTCCATAAAAGCGAAGATTTTTCAAAGACACTTCTACTGTGAATGGAGGAGCAGAAATTTCAACATTCTCAGCTTTTCAGTTTGGAAATTAAGGATTTTTTTCAAGAGCTTTCAAATTCCCAAGTCAAAAGCCGCTAGCAATTTCGCAATTTTCTGAAAAATCATCCAGAATTTTCCAGAAAAAAGGTGCAATTTTCCGGCTTTAAAGAGACACTTTTTCGACGAATAGAGCAAAAGTATCTACTGTTTAATCCTATCCATTTGGAAAGTACGAATTTTCTTCAAGAGCTTGCAACTTTCCAAGTTAAGAGCCGCCGGTAAATTCGCAATTTCCTGAAAAATTATCCGAGATTTCCATAAAAGCGAAATTCACAGGCTTTAAAGAGACACTTTTGCTATGAATGGAGCAAAAATTTCTACTGTCTAATCCTATCAATTTGGAAAGTACGAAGTTTTTTCAAGAGGTTGCAGCTTTCCAAGTTAAAAGCAGCCAGTAAATTCGCAATTTTGTGAAAAATCATTCGAGATTTCTCATAAAGCACCATTCACAGGCTTTAAGCAAATACGTGTTCTCTGAATAGATAAAAATTTCACTTTGTTAAACCTCTGAATTTGGAAAGCAAAGAGCTTGCAAATTTCCATGTCAAAACCCGTCACTAAATTCGCAGTTTTTCCCAAGAAAACTCCTCTTAGAATATAAATAAATAAATATAGTTGGCACCAGGAAAATTCATCAGATAGAGCGCATCGATCCTCGAGTAAATTACCTGCTAAAGGCCATAAAGTACGTCAACCGATCCAGATTCTGCGAAAATTTTAGTATGCCTTATGTGGGGCTTGAAAGTTAATTAGCGTTTCAATTAAATCTGCTATAAAATGAACAAATTAAGCCGTAGAGCTGATATGTTGGAAGTAGCTAGTATTTAGAGTTAGATGTGGTTGTAAAAGTGATTTTAATTTCCATTTTCCAGACGTAAGAGCTCTTCAATAATTTACCTTTTCAGACGAGCTTGTATCCGAAGAGGCGGAAACTGCGATCACCGAGCAAACGATTGTTGTTACAACAGCTCGTGCCGATGCAATTTATGGGGTTCCAACTGTCGGTGCCAACGAATGGGGATCTTCCAAAAATGGGGCTAATTTTTCTAAGTAATCGCATCAACACGAATGGCCCAATAACAACCAATTTACGTCTGAATCACTTTTTCTGTTTAGTTGATTTTAACATTAATTTTTTGTAAATTTCTTGAAATTTGTTAAATCACATGTTTTCACGCTATTGGGTCATTCCAAATTGGATTTTTCGATTCGGACTAGAACTTCGATCACTCGCCCAGTTGAAATGTTATTTTTATCGCGTTTATTTCAAAAGACTGACTTTTAGACTCCTTTTAGAAATTCTGAGCGACTGAATTGAACTTGTGGTCCAGACCTCCTGCTTCGCACTTTGGCTCTGACGATTTATCAGTATTTAGCTTTGTTCTGTTCGTTCTCATTGTGTCAAATATTGAAACGCCTTTTGATGATGTGAAACCACGAAAATCCGACGAAATATCACTTATTTATAAACGGCAGAAATTTGACGTTGAATTCAACTTTTCCTGGTTTCCTAGGGAGTTGGCCGCCCTTTTACTAAGAGTTTATCCAGCCACATTCTTAGTAGATCAGGGCGTGTCCAGCATTAACATTTATTTAAATACTGGAATTTATTAGAGAAACACCTGCTTATTTACCACTGACATTTCCTTAGTAGTTTAGACACATATTCCAGTATTGAACAAGTAACTGAAATTATATAAATCCTTAACAATACATAAATATAATAGTATTTAGGACTAATTTATTGTGGCCATGGGCGCCGCCTTGTCAGTAGCGACATGAATTTATCCCTAAACCTAAGCAGTTATACTTTAACGTACATATTGAGACATAGGAATATTTATATATGTGAGAAGGGTGCAACGTTCAGGATTCTGTCAATATATATAAAAATATATATATATAGATATCAATTGGCCTAAGACTTTGTTGTTTTATTTCACTCATTATTACTCGGTTTGGCATCACTGCCCCGTTCACACCCGTACAAGAATTTTCAGGATTATGTGAGAGAACACTTGTTATGATTACGACTTTACCCCGATGTTTTATATGATGAGGATGCTCGAAAAGTTAAGTTTTTTGTACAGTTTCCGCTTCGCTCTATTACCTCAGAAATCTTGGATTTTTGGAGACCTATTGCAGCATTTAATGCTCACATTGGCAACAGTGCCACTTTCGCACTGGTATTTCAGCAGAAAATTACGAAATAAAAACATTTAGATTCATAAACCTGTAGTGGTTTTTAATCCAGAGTTCTCTTCTTGTTGAGTTTTGGTATCATTTCCTTATCCGTATCCTCCACGTGACCAAAGGACACCTAAAATTACTACGAATTGTGTTATTTTATAAATAATTGCAAGGAAATCGATCCAATTAGAAAATCAACAATTATTGCATGAGAAAGACTAGAATTTCCTTTATAATTCACGAAATGTTGCATATTTGAGTCATTATCAGAAATTTGTTGAGGATTTTTTCACTTACGACGTGTCCAAGAGCGGTTTAAAGAGGCTTAGAAACGCGTTACTTAATAATTAATTACAAAGAAATGAATCCAACTAGGAAAGCAAAAATTTCTGTATAAGAAAGGCCAGCATAATGCTTAACGTTTCATTTGTAAGTAATCATCAGGATTTTTTAAATATTTTTTAAACTTGCGACGGGTCTAAACGGCCGCTTGAAAATACTAAAAAATGCGTTTTAATGATTAATTGCAGGAAATCTAGTTCGATTAGAAAGGCGCAAATTTGTGCGTAACAAAGACCAGTATTTTCGTTGTAAATTTTGAAAGTTTAGTTTCTGGGTCATGATCAGGGATTTTTTGAGAATTTTTTTTTAGTTGCGACTTGTCCAAAATTCGAAATCACTAAGAAACGTATTTTTTAACAATTAATTGTAGGAAAACTTATGCGACTACAAAGGCGTAAATTTTTATGTAAGAAACACAAGCATTTTCGTTATGAAAAGTAGCCTTTTTAGGTTTTTCACTTGCCACACTCTGTGGGTGTGGTAGAAATGATAAATGTGCCTGGCGAATTTTGGGCCCTATATTTTATTTGCTCAAATTGTATGAAAAAGATATTTTTTAATAAAATGTCTCCTCCAATATCGCTTTGCGACAGACAAATCTGGAAAACTTTCATCGGTGACACTGTTCATTTTTTTTCAAAGGCCTTCGCTTTTGATACATATTCTTTATCGGGCTCTTACATCTAAACATTTTGGATATTTCGTTATTCCGACATGAAGAGGAACAATATAATACGGTGAACTGTACGGATGGCAATCTGCATTAGATCCGACAGCAAACAAACGGGCACAATGCTCAGAATGCTGCGCGTCAAAATATGGGAGAAATGTAGGACGAAATGAAAAATACCCTTATAAATAGAAACTGTGTAGGTGGAAAGCTTCGCTTCGAGACCAGGAATCTCTATAAAAGCATTTCGATTATTTAACCGGCAGTTTGCACTTTCAATGCGATATTTCAATGAGGGTCACACACTAAGAAATCGAAATTGTATCTACAAATAATACAAGCGGCAAGAATTGAGTTTTCTAAACCTTTCAGTTTTGAAAGTAGGCAGTTTCTTTCAAGAGCGCTTGCATATTTCCAGCTCAAACCCCGCCAGTTATTTTTAAATTTTCTGATTTTTCAGAAAATAGGATTTTTTTCAAAGAAAGATCGGAAAAGAAAAAATATCGGATTTCTAAAAAAGCGCAATTTACAGGGTCTTAAAACACACTTTTGCGCTGCATCGAGTAAAAACTTTAACTTTCTAAGCGTATCAGTTTGGAAAGCAGAAAGTTTTTTTCAAGAGCGCTTGCAGATTTCCAAGTCAAAAACGTACTGCGTCAGTAATTTCGCAATTTTCTGCTTCCGGGATTTACATAACAGCGCAATTCACCGGTTTTAAGGAGACACTTATTCTCTGAATGGAGCAAATATTTCACCTTTCTAAACCTCTCAGTTTGGAAAGCAGGAATTTTAGCTTGGAAGCTTTTTCTGAAAAATCATCCGGATTATTTAAATGCCGGATTATTTTTGTATGGGGCAATTCACCGGCTGTAAAGACACACTGCTTATGTGAATGGATAAAAAATGTCATCTTTCTAAACCCCTCAGTTTRGAAAATAGGAGTTTTTATTCAAGAGGATGCAGATTTYCCAGTAGAAAACCGCCAGTAATTTCACAATTTTCTGAAAAAGTTTCCGGGMTTTACATAAAAGCGCAATTCACCGGTTTTAAAGAGCCATTTATTCTCTGAATTGAGCAAAAATTTTACCTTTCTAAGCCTCTCAGTTTGGAAAGTRGTAATTTTTACTTGGCAGCTTGCAGGTTTACAACTCAAAAGCCATAAGCAAATTCGTAATTTTCTGMAAAAWCTYYSGTATTATTTAAATACCGGATGATTTTTTATAGAGCAATTCACCGGCTTTAAARAGACATTTCTTATGTGAATGGAGCAAAAATTTCAACTTTCTAAACCTCTCAGTTTAGAAATTAGGAAATTTTATCAAGTGCTTGCAGATTGCCCATTCAAAAGCCGCCGTAATTTGACAATTTTCTGAAAAATCAGCCGGGATTTATAAAACAGCGCAATTCATGGAGAAAGAAGTGGAGAAAAAAATCATTTTTCTAAACCTCACAGTTTGGAAATTAGGAAATTTTTTTCAAGAGCAGGCAGATTTACGTTTAGATTATTATTAAGTCAAAAGCCGCCAGTAAATTTTCAATTCTTTAAATTAATTTTTGAATTTCTAAATGGAATTTTTTGTCGCTACTTTTATTGAGAGTTTTCAGGTTGACGAGAAAACGTGAATGCAACTCCCGCAAATAACTGACAATCGTCTAAAAAAATAATACAAAATATGATTTTGTGAACGAACGTCCAGAGAAGCAAAAAAGTGCAGATCGCGTAAAAGTCCAAGTTTTGATTTTAAGTTTCTTTTCAATTTATCACAAAACGGCTCAAAAGTACTTCGTAATCTCACTTCCCAACATGAGTTTTCAGGGTGAAGAAGAATGGTTCAATTGAAATAAATTTTGTCTCGCAGCTTGATGTTGAAAAAGGCTGATTAAGCTGTAACTTTTTCAGGCGATTACTTTATACGAATCTGTATCAACATTTTGAGATCATGGAATATCCATACAATTATTTTTCCATGAGTACGACCTTTAGTATGAGTTACAAATCGCTTCCTTCGACAGTTTCGCGTTCAATTTGTTAGGAAACAAATTTGTTGGCAATTCGGCAAACACACCCTAGATTAGGGATGGGACATCGAGCTTCTAACATCGATGGTAGCCATCGATGTTCACATCGAAAGGTAATATCGATGTTAGGGAAACATCGAAGGCAGAACATCGATGTTCTGATAGTTTGCAGTTGCATACAAATTTCAAATTGATTAACTAAATCTTAAATTATTTTATTTTACTACTATGACATTTTAAAACAATWATTGTTAAATTATCGATTAAATGTATTCAACTTATAGTTGCCACGTTTTTTCGGTCAACTGATTGCAAAAAGRGGCTTTTTTCGGGTGCAGCTGGAAATGGGTCGCTATGCCGCGATATCGTTTGTATCGGCACTATSAAAGAGTTCGCAGAAATTTTTTCTATCTACATCAAATGTCCGATGTTTTAATTTCAGGATCTAACATTGATGTTTCATAGTCGCCCAAATTCCCAACATCGATGGTAAAAGTATCGAACACCGAACGAATTTCATCGATGTTTGCAAAACATCTCCCATCCCTACCCTGGATCATCGCGAGTCTAATAGAGAAATTACCTACTAAGAGCCTTCACAAGGCAGAAAAACTTTTTGGCTTTTGACACTGCTGTGCATTTTAAGTTTTGCAGAGCATAATGAAAAAACTAACCACAAATTCGCTGTAACGTTGCCAGGCTGGTCAACAAATATGTCTCTGTCTGGACTATGGTAGAATCGTAAGTTACTTACACCTCCTTCAGAAGAATGTTAATGCTCTTAACAAGTTTTGGAGCAGCCAAGCAACCTATCTGACAGGCAAAAGCGGAAAACTACGGGTTTTGATAAATCGAATTAAAATTCCAAACAATTAAAACTGTTGAACTATTGAAGGCATCACCACATAATGGTCCTTCGAGCCGGTTTGTTATCGGCATCACGTCGCTGCAACTGTGAACAATGGCCAGACTCCTGCGACCGTCCGACATGCTCTTCCGTTATGAAAGCCGAAGTAAAATGCCAACTTGCCAGCAGAATCGCAGTTATGTGAACCAAGTCAACAATTCTCCCCCACCCATCGACACACCTTTCAAGGTAGAGCGGACTAGGAGCTTTTACTAGTTGACTTTAGTTTGGAATTTAACTCGTTTTGTCGGCGTCGCCGTTTATTAGTGCGGTCGATAGAAAAGCGGGCTTTTCCAGCGAAAAATCGACATTTTCTCGCAGTGCGTAACTGTGAAAAGTGCCTGTTGTGGCTTAGTGGCTGGGCACCAAGAGAAACACCTGCGCACTCGCTCGACGCTATCCAAACTGCAATGGGGATTTGTTGGAAAATTATTAAGTTAGTTCAATGTTTGATTGGTAGTTTTAGGTGCCCAATTAATCCTCTCCTTTAGGATTAATTGGAGGAACTAAGAGTGCTGCTGGCGCCAAATTTGCTTTGAATTTTCAGCGGTTACTGATCATTCGCTTATGTCGTCCGGTGTCTTCCGCAGGAGTTATTTCGGCTAATAAAACACCTTTGAGGCGTGAAGAAGGTCAACAAACGTTTGCTGTTTAAAGAACATATTGGTCGATTTAAAGTCTCACCAAAAAAACGAAGCTCAGTTTTATGCCACGAACTTTTACCTTCAACTTTCCCGGGCATAAATTCATTAAAAAATTGCTTTATTGAATTGCAATTAGTATTCCAAGGTAACCGACAGAGGTGAATCAACAGAATACCTCGCAATGCATTTGTAGCTTTGATTCTTAATCTCTTACGGTAACGCTTTTTTATTACCAAAAAAACCATTCCGCATGCTGCTAATTTATCGTATCAACCGGATATTCTCACTAGACCTTTTTGAGTCGAATTTAGCGTTCAATTAATAAGGTTTCGCGAAAATGAATAATTTGTTATTGAAAACCGAACCGACACTCTTATAGCTCGTTTATTTGCCTTCACTTTATTGGGCAAACATCTGCTTGAATGTTTTTTGGCCCGATTTCAACTTAAAATCTCAAAGTCTTCAATATCCACTTGCATTTGATTGTGCAATATTAAGATTTGAAGTATAATCAAGGTACGCTTCACGAACACCTCTCAAGATGATCGGCATACGAGCTATCGAAACGTCAGGACCAATTTCCCATCGACAACGGTCTAATAACCTGAAAATAAACGTTCATTTTTACATCCTTCGAGAGACAACCAAGTGGCCTTCTTAGAAAGTGAACCTTCGATAAGGAAATTTCGGCAGTTTTCCCAAAAGGGTCCTGATTTCAAGAAGTTTTGAAGATCCGTTTTTCTTGAGTTTCAAAATTTACTCAAACATGGCTCATGACTCAGCATTGAAAATTCTATTCAGTGAAAACAACACGAGTGAGACAATTCGAGCAGTTTTGACACAGAAAGCGATATTTGAATATGAGACAGTCAGGTGCAAGATTATGTGAAATTTTCATATTTTTCGTCCTGTTTTTGCTCATTTCTCGTAAGCAAAATGAGCAAGAACGCTTATTTTAACGTCACTCCAGAGAGAACTAAATGGCCTTTATACAAAGTAAACCATCGATAAGAACATATTGGCAGTTTTCTCAAAAAAGTCTTGATTTTATGAAGTTTTGAATTTGCGTGTTTTTATTGAGTTTCAAAATCGACTCAAACATGACACTGCTTTTTTCGAAGTTTTTCAAGAACTATTTGAGCCACATAATTCGTTTTGGCATCGTTGGATAGAGAATTGAAAATTGGATTCAGTCGTAACAACATGAGTGAGGAAATTCGAGTAGTTTTGACCCAGGAAGCCAAATTTGAATATCACACATTGAGCAGCGGCGGATCGAGATTTCGAGTAGTAGAAATTCAGTCGTTTTGCACTCAACTTCGCTAGTGAGGCCGAAGCTTCTAAACCATCCCAAATTGCTTTGGAAATATTGCGTTTCACCCCCATAAGAATGCGTTTATTCCCTCGGAGAGTTGCTGATGAAGCTTCCTACATGTATTTTTTTTCGATGAATCCCGGTTTTGTCAGGTGGAAATCGGTTTATTTTACTGTCTGGTTTCCTGAAAGATTGCATTCCAAATGCACAGCGACTGGCGGAATAACTCCTCCCACGTTCATCGTTTTAATCTGATGTTTTACAGCAACGAAAGCAAGTGAATGTAAAAATGATTAGTTTCTGCTTCTGTGGTAGCTGTTTTATTATTTTTGTGATATTTTCAGAATTAGGCATTGTGGCCCACACCCAAGTTAACTGCGAAAAGGCCACAGGTTCGACACACCTTTCCCATAGCGTGCCATGTCCAAGTTTTCCAAGACCAGAATGTAAACAGCAAAATATTGATCCAGGAAAATAGTTGATCCACATGCTACGCACCAGATACTCTAACAAATGCGCTCGACGGGAAAAGTGAGCTTTCCACCTTACTTGTTGATTGTAATGTAAACTTTGCCCAAAAAAACCGAGTGTTGTGCTTTAGTGTTGGTTGTTACGTTATGTGCAAGTTTTGTGATCAATGATGGTAGTTTGGTGGTAAAATGGCAGCTAGTGAAGTGAAGCCTTTGTATTCGACATGTGTGGCCGTTTTGGGATTCATTTGCTTTGTTGTCGGGGCTACAGCAGTCGGAATACCCATGTGGGGATACTTTGGAACACCTGGATGGGGTAAGTTCAGGTTTTTTTCAAATAGTTCTGAAAAGGTTGAATTTTGGTGCGCTCTTCGGCTAGACAGCATCCTTTTGTGAACAAACCTTCCATTTGTGTCTTAAAAAAAAACCTGTCCAAACTGTTAAAATCACTTTATAACAGTACTTGCTGATTTTCAGTTTTACTCAGGTTAGCACTAGATAAATTTAGTACAAACAAGTTAAATTTTATATCAAAGTCAACAGTGTTGCGCTTTGCAAATCCAAAGTCGATAATCAAGCGTAAAGTCACTTGTTACGCCTGAAGAATCCTGAAAGATCGCCGAGTGGGTCGTTGGGTGCATTGTTTGACGCCATTGTTGCATGAATATAACTGTATAATCTCTATGACTGCTTTCTACCATTTTCGTTTAACTGAACTGATTTGACGAGCTTTTTATGGACCCGCTTGTCTAGCGGGACTCAATTACCGCACATCTGGTCAGATTTATTTACTTTCCACGTTAAGAAAATTTTACTTAGAACTTGAAAAAACGGTTGCGGGCACATTTTGCATCCAGTTTTTTGAAAATAAATTCCCCAGAAACGAAAAATGCTTTACAAGTCCATGGTTGTGCGTTTAGTAAAGAAGGGTGCGCTCAAAATGTCGAGAATGAATGTCGTCAAAGTATCTTCAACCTTCAAAAGTTCATTCAAGTCACATGAAAACCGGAATTTGGTGCGCTCGCTTCGTAAATCTACAGTCAGAAATGAACGCATTTACGCAACTACAGACTTTTCAACAAAAAATTCCAACTTCCAATGTAAAGCCAGTGGAAACTTGAAACATTGATATTCTGTAAAAGACGTTTTTTTTTTAAATGAAATGTTGACGCAAAATTGCACCTAAATGTCTGATATTCAAATTTCGTGTGACTGTGAAAAATTATCCAGAGTTTACTCACGCACGTTGTTATAACTAAAACGAATGACCAATTCTCTATCCAATGATGGAAAGTCGAACTCTGTGGCTCAAATGGTTCTCGAGCAACGCCAAAAATACCGCAAACAGGCAAAACTGAAACCCTTGGCTTTTTTTAACAAAAAACCTAAAACTGGAACTTATATTTGCATATCTGAAACGGTTCTTTGGAGACAAGCTCCAAATGAGCTTGACGTAAAAATATACGAAGCCGCCCAAAATATTCCCAAACTTTCAAAATTTCTGGTGAAGCAATCAAGGGTTTAATCGGATCCCAGTGCACACTACCAGTAAGCTGATGCTTATTCTATTGAATACTGGAACCCAAATTTCCATAGCTGAAGCAGTTTTTTAGCAAAAAGCTTCAGATGAGCTTGATGTAAAAATGTAAAGCCGCCCAAAATATTGCCAAAGTTTCAAAATTGTCTACGAAAGAACCAATAGCTCAAATCGATACCAAATCCAGCCCTACAAGTCAGTTGATGAATATGGGACTAAAAATTCTACATGTACATGGCAACCAGGGGCAAAGTAATGCTAAGCTTACCGAAACCTGCGTAGTGCCACCCGGAAAAGAAGAAGAAAATGTGTTTATTACAGCAGGAGATCTGTCCAAAGTCAAACTTATTTGAAATCAGCCGAGCAAAGAGGGAGAAACATAAAGAATTCATAAAACTTCAGGTGCTTGTCGGAAAACTTCTCAATTCAGGCTAAAACATTTATAGATTAGGGATCATTCTCACCAGCTCTTTGCAAGCTGGCGCCCCATCGTCCATCTTCTACCCATAAATGCTCAAAAAGATCACAACACTTTCAAAAGCTACTGCACTTGCCATAAGGCCACAATGATTCGACATTTCTCATCTAGAACACAATTCACAGGACACAAAGGATTATCGACCAATTTCGTCCACTGTCGATAGCAAAGTGAACACTTTTCGAGCAAAAATGGACACCGAACTACTGAATAAATTGAAATTCAACACAGTGTTACCCAGGCATATGTCTGAGTTTTTCGATTAGCTTCCGAGTAGATTTTGATTTGAGAGTATTTCATGAACGTTTTTAAGGTTATTTGTCACTCACTTTGTCGATTTATAATTCAGCTCGATGCTCGAAAAATCCCACATTTGCCAGCAAATTTGCACCAAAATTTTCAGCTCGATTTTCTTGAAAATTCGGCAAGAGTCCGATATGCTTACAATGCAAACAAGCAACTAGGCAAAAGAAGAGAAGACTATCAACGAAGAAAGAAAGAAATACAGAAAATCCCAATCAAAATTCATTTTTTCTTCCTATGCTTTTTCTTAACTTTATTCTGATCTGCATGATTTTGTGTAAAAAAGGTTTTTTGTAGTTTTGCAACATTTAAGTTTCTGCTTATCTTTTAACTGCCTTCGATTATTAAAATCGACATAAAAATTAAAAGATGTAATTTTCTCCATACCAAACACCTCATTGGCGTTGCCATTTCATGATTATTTCCTGGTTATTGATTGGTCACTTCCATTGTTCGGATCTGTGATGCAAAAATTAATCATTCAAAAACCCTGCACCGTTCCATCTCTCTACTCTCCATAGATATATTTAGAAATTTTGATAAATACTTAATACCACAAGCTGAAAATATAGAAATTTCCGAACAAAGCAACTGAGAAGCCAGCGTTTTGATCTAAACCCTTGTTGGATATTCTGCTTGATTGCATAGCTACAGAGGAAGTGAAATCATGACACAATAACCCAGAAAATTGGCCATTTTGGGCGAAACTCATCATATGTTTTTGTCGTATTCGAGCGAAATTACCACGAGCAATGGCACAGTTGATGGCGCAATGTAAAAACTCATTTAGCATTAGATTGTAAGTGTATTTTGCGATTCGGGTCAATATCATTTATAAAGGAAGCTCGCTCCACTTGCCGCAACAGTCGCTGATGGAAAGTCTACAAGGTATCTTTTACAGGAAACATAAAACCTTTGCGGTGATGTTGCCGAATTTACCTTCTCCTACGTAAGGAATACTGCTTATTACTGGCTGAAAATAAAAGCCCTGACAATTCACCACTGGAATACTTTTTTGGGAATATGCGTCACTTCACATTATAATAACCCAGTAAGGCAATTTAAGCAGATTTTAAATTGAAAATATACAAAATCCACGGAACACAATGCCAGTAAGAAACCTAGATAAGTTTCGAAACACCTAGCGGTTATTTGCATGAATAAAACAACCAAAATACGGTTCTTTACCAACTGGGCAACAACCTTTACAAATGGAAAGGATGATCATTTGTTATGCGAAGAACGATGTCCAATATTTGGAGTACATTTGTAGTTGTTGGCGCACTTGGGGGTTTTAGAAGGGCATCATTTTGCGATTATTATGCAGTTGTTCTATTTTTTTCCATGGGGATTATCTAGTTCTATGACCTCGACGCCTTACCGAGGATAAGCATTTTACTATCAAAACCTGTAAACGACTGCAGAGGTTTATGACCTAAAATTTCCCGGTTAAGAGTGGCGCAATATTATGGCCACGGTTGTACCAATTAATTGAGTACAACAGACGAGTTTTTGTCCTAGAATATGTTCGAAACAAAACGTTCGCCTTAACGCGAAAACACCTTTAGGCAGGTAGCTGAAAATAAACACTTCAGGGTGCCGGATTTTCACATTAACTTCCCGTTGGAAAGTAAGGAAAATTGTGGCAGGCAAAATTTAATTTTCGAGGCGGCTGACTTTGGAACGGGGGTTGTGGGGTTGCTTCGTTATTTTCCATTTAGGCTCGCATATTTTGCATGCCGATAAATTGTACCGGCGCGAATGCAAGAATTTGGCCCAAATTGTTTAGTTCATCAGTTTATCAGTTTCTGCGAAATATTCTCCCATTTCACCCTCTTCTAACAATTTCCTTGACACCTCAACTGTACTTGAATAAAACGATGCAATAAAATGCAGGTTGCAAACACGTTGCAGTAGTTAAATTTAATCTGAAATGAGTGCCGATTGCATTGTCAAGAAAGGCATTTTCAAGTGCTTTTAAAAGCCATAACAAAGCAATTACGTTGTTTCGAACAGTGAATGACTGATAACATTATTCAGGCTTGACCTAAAACAGATTGACCGCCCATTAATGTTAATTGCGATTATTTAGTAGTAGGTAGATGTGGTATGCGAAGTATTTCGGTTGTGAAAATATGTTATGGTTTACTTACAATTTTTGATTGTACTAAATAATAAAATCCAAATAGTTGGTTTTTTTCTAAGCTGCAACAACTGTTCTGTGTCAATTTTATACTATGAAAACCGTGTTTTCCTGCCAAACAACTATCTTGTTTTTTGTTTTAGCAGTTTTTTTCCAAGCTTTATTCAGGTTTTGTGTGCTTCTCCGGTTCAATGATTGTTGTTTTCACTTAGCAGGCCTCTTTCGTCGGAAGGTCTCACGCTTTCTTCTTCTGGATCTTCAAGCTCTTCTGTGAGTCGCGTATTGGAAGTTGAACTTCATTTCGTAGCCAGTTATGTTGGTCGTCCATTGTCCTGTTTTCTTAACAACTTCGCCTGTTGTATTTTTAACATCTTCTTTATCTACTTCTTCATCAAACTATGGAGTGCTCTTTAGGAGTTTTGAAGTATTTTTATTGAAATGTTCGACGCATCTTTAGTGCCTGCTTCCAAGTTCGCCTGGGGTCATTATTTTAACTTCAATTCCTCTGAGTCGGCGATCGCAGCGAGTTTTGGGCGTTAAAATATGAGTTATATCACCCTTACTGAACCTGGCTGACTTTTTATGGAAAACTCGCTTTCAGTGTTTCAAGTTTCAGGTTTCCAGGATTTTTTCGGTTACTAAGGCGAATCGAGGTAAACACGAGTTTTTCCACAATTCGTCAAGAAAAAACAAAAAATTTCTGAATGGGGTCGATAACATCACTCGGAAGAGAAAATCGGCTGTTTTTCTATTGAAGTGAGGAAAAACTCACTTCAGTAGGAAATTTTTGGGAGTTTCCAGGATGTTTCCAGAACAGGAAGCGATTGGCCCTTGGTAAATATAGAGACATTTCAGAAAATGTGTTAGGGAAAAACCAAAAATATCTCAAGCCTGCCCGGATTATCACTCGAAAGAGAAAATCTGCGGCTTTAAATGAGGAAAACCTCACCTTAATAGGAAATTCCTAGCAGTTTTCAGGATTTTTTCAGATACTAAATCGAACCGGTTGATCGTTGGACAACACGGATTTTTTAAAAATTCGTCAAGGAAGAACCAAAAGTTTATCAACCAGACCCATAAGATCACTGGAAAGAGAAATTCTGCGGCTTTAAGCGCGAAAATCCCATTTCAATAGGAAATTCCTAAGTTTCCAGTATTTTTCAGTTACAGACGAGACGATTGGCTGTTGAGAAACACACATTTTTCAAAAATTTACCAAAAGAATGCCGAAAATTCTACAATCGAGCTTCTAATATTACTCGAAAGAGAAAATGCGCTGCTTTAAGTGTGGAAAACGCATGTCAATAGGATCTTTCTGGGAGTTTCCCCAGGATTTTTTTAGTTACGAAGAGGCGATTGACCGTTCGTAAACACGGATTTTGCAAAAATGTGCCAGGAAAAAACGTAAAATTCCTAAGACTGTCCATAATATCTCTCGAAAGAGAACGTCCGCAGCTTTAGGTGAGGAAAGACTGACTTTTATAGGCAATTTCTGGAGGTTTTCAGGATTTTTCAGTTTCTAAGACGAGTCGATGGCTGATGGAAAACACGAAGTTTTCAAAAATTTGTCATGGAGAATCCAAAAATCCCCGGATCCAGCCCATAACATCACTCGAAAGAGAAAATCCGCTGCTTTAAGCTAGGAAAACTCACTTTAATAGGGAATTTCTGGGAACTTCCGCGATTTTTTCAGTTACTAAAGCGAGGCGATTGGCCACTGGAAAACACGACTTTTTTAAAAATTTGGAAAGAAAAATTCAAAACTCCCACAATCCGACTCATAACATCACTCGAAAAAGAAAATGCGCTGCTTTAAGAATGGAAAAACTTACTTTAATACGAAACTTCTGGGAGTTTCACGGCTTTTTTCGGATACTAAAGCGACGCGATTTGCCAAGCACCAACTTTTTAAAAATTTTCCAAGGTAAAACAAAAAATCCCTCAATACGGCCCATAATATAACTACAAAATGAAAATCTGCTGATTTAAGTGAGGAAGAAAACACTTTAATAGAAAATTTCCAGGATTGTTTCAGTTACGAAAAGCTTGTGTGCCTTTTTTGACTCTTCCAATTACCGGTATCTCCAATAACCCGAAAATCCGCGGAAAATACGACTTTTAACTTCCCAAGCCAAGCTTTACCCACAACTGAAAGCACTAAAAAATCGAGTTCTAAGTGCACATCGCTTGGCCACTTTCAGCATCGCATCGCCCAGCACGCCCCCTTATGTGTCAGTTTAATTCTGAGTTTCTCCAGCAGCATAAAGAGGTTATTCTGGGTAAAATTCCTTTCAAAATTGTGAAACTTCTCAAATACAAAAGAAGCTTGTTCAATCGCCTGCAACACAAACAGGGCATTTTAACCAAACAAACGTGGTTTCAAATAAAGCGCAAAAGCACAGTGCAGCCGAGAAATGTGCTGCTCCCAACTGAGAATGGCGCAAAATTAATTTGTTGTCCCCAAAACCTAAATGTGAAAGTCCTGCTGGTTTAATATTCTTCTCAGCTCACTATCAGCTAATTTTCTGGCAGGGCCCAACAGCTGTCTGGAGCTTGCAGAATAATTGGACAATAGCAGTTAACTGCCTCTATATTTCAAGTTTTCTAATAATACTTTGCCATTTGTCGACTACTCTAAACGCGGCACAAACAAATTAAAACCAGCGCAATTCCATTTTTCAGTTTCAATTTTCCGCGTTATGTTTAATTATTATATTATTATCAAAGCCACAGCCATTCTCCCTTCGCATTTGAACATGTCGCTGGGCAGATGACGTGCAGGACGCAAATGTAATTGGAATACATTGTGTGGTTGCAATTATTATGCTTCCCATACATATATATGAATTAAATTGTCAGTAAAAATTACCTTGAGTCGCTTCGTTTCCCGTTGAAATAAAAAATTAGCTAAAAATAAATTTAGATGCTAAAGTGCTGCAACAAACCTAATTTTTTTCAAGTACTTGAAAGTTTACTTTGGGGCGACCAGTTGAATTTAACGGCTGTACAAGTGGGGCTTTAATAGCGTCGTTTTATGGTTTTCAACATCAACCATTTTGCAAATGGTGTGTTTGCGTGCAACAAGGCGGGTTATCCAACGTGGGTGTTAGAATGAGCCAAAGCGCCTTGCGGCAAAGTCCGACTGGTGTGTTTCATCTCCTTCCATTTCACGCATTTTCGGTTCCTTCTCAGCGCTGATATTAGAACTCGTTCATCCAACATCTAAGCCTGATATACAGTTCATACTTACCACAATAATTCCAAATTGCATAATCCGAAGTGTCTTGAAAGCTTTTGCATGTAGCAGGGATTATTTTCACTGCAGACTCTCGACTTAATGAAGCAAAATGGCTAATCCAAGCACGCGTTTTCATGGCAATAAGTGAGGGTAAATGCATTTTTTGCTCCAAATTACATTATTTTTTTATTGCGAACAGTACTTCATTATGCGTTGAAATAATGCAAAACAGGGCAGATGAAATAGAACCGTGTCTCGGTTTTTAAACAGGCTCGTCTCGTACTTTCAACACACTTTGAATAACGTGGTTTTTTCTACCATAGAAAGTCGAAACTGTAGCAAAAGTTGCAGGTTTCACCCTCAGTTTCCCAAGGGAAGTCGTCGCTGTCGATTTAAATTTAGCTCGCATAAGATAGGGAGAACGTAAAAGTTCTAAATTAAATTTGATATCTGAGATGAAAACGAGCACTTTGATTTATGCTATCGATCGAGCGAAAAAACTGCTTAAAGTAATATTTCCAACTAATCAGAGTTCTAGAATGAGCTTTCACATGCACTTTTCTGGTATAGATGTGAAGCAGAAGACCATTTTTTTAAAAGCCGAAATGGGAAATTCAGTAATTCAAAGCCATTTGATGTTAGAAAGTTGACCTGCAACATTCTCGTGAGAACAATCGGATATCAGCATCCGGCGGTTGTAAAGCAATTTTCTAAAAGCCATTGTTCTTTCCGGACAAATCGAGGCTAAATATTACTGGAATTTGTCGATTATCCATTAATAACTAGGTGGTAAAGTACGGTTTGTTGCAGGAGTTGGAGATGACAATGGATACTTTGGACCTTGGAAAACCTGCAAATTCCTGCTCTACAATAGGGAAAGGTGTGAGGAAGGCGTTTCAAGATTCCGGGCATCTGGTAAGAATTAAATGTTCATTTTTTGCACCTGATTATTCGGGTTAATTCCTGGCCTAGCAGTAAACGTTCCATCCAAAGCTACAGGTAAAAATCACTTGGCTTTCGGTCTGGGGTTTCGCAGGCCATCTGAATCCTTCTGCTCAAAAACCTGTTTATAAAACGTCTGACTGTTATTTGGTTAAAATACTTCATACGTTAAATTGTGCTTGATAATCAAATGGAAAATGGTCTGTTGCACGCTCACCATAATAAGTTGCGTAGTTTTAGCCCATGCAAGTTGCGCAACTGTTGAAAACCAAACCACCAAACCAACAAATTTCACAAGACCCAGTAACTCATCAACAATGATAAATTAACGACAATTTTCCACATATTACTAGCCTAATTGTAAAATGAGTTCACACATATACACCGAACAGGTTTTCCCTGATAATTGACTTAAAGGTCAAGCTTGGCCTCTAGTGACTTGGATGGCAAAGTATTCGTCATCAATAAACAAGGCCATTAATAAATTAAGGCTGGAATCGACAACAACAAACACATGCTTACTCAGGCTATTATATGCGTAAAATTTCGTAACAACTTTGACTTTGGGTGTGTAAAATTTTCTTGAAAATGCATCCAATGTTTGATCTAGTGATTTTTCTAAACGCCCTTCTACTAGCATCTTTCTTCAATCAGAGAAAATTTAGGGTTTAATGTAGTTGCTCTAGTCAAAAACTTGGAAGTTATGATGATTTGGAGGTCAAAAAGACGCACAAAATACTTTTAATTTTTACCTCGATTAACTCATTTCCGATATAGAACATGAGATTGTTAGCAAAGTGCATTCTCGACACAATCACTGTCTATAAGCAAATTTGTATTTGCAACAGTTTGAAAGGAAATGGGCCCTATACTTCCACTTTTTACCCTGTAACTCGGTCAGTTATCAACGATTTTCAGAAATTCGAAAATTCTTAAAAAGGCCATAGATTTGGCGTAAAAAGTTGTTTCGGGGCCAAATTTCATTTTGGTCACCGTTTCAGTGCCAGGGGCGTTTACMTTTTCGAAGATCTGAAGCGCTCATGTTTGTTCCACTTGACCYCTTGAAAAATAAATCGTGATAAACTTACTACTACTTACTAACTTCTTTTAATTATAATACAYATTTTTTACCATTKACAAGTAATTTATTTAATTTAGTTGCTGTTTGGGTGGCCGGACTAGTCGCATCCATAGCTGTGGTAGTGCTGGGCATTTTCTGTATTCTCAGTGTCTTGCAGCTGGCCATGATCAACTCCAAAGAACAAGTAGTGTTAAAATACAGCGCCACAGTCCTCACTAAGGTCGTAATGGCCTTTGTATCAGGTAGGTTGTATTCCAGTGCTATTTAAATGACCCAAAACAATCATATGAATTTTTAAGTGATTTGCCTTTGTTGATTGTTCTTAAGTATTTTTTTCTGAAAATTTCATACCATCAATGCCTTTCACTTTTTTCTAGTTATTAGCTAATTTGATCAACTTTTTATTATCAATTTTACTTTATCGTTCGTTTTGTTGTTTCAGCTCTACTTGCAATTGTAGCGGCCAGTCTATTTGCAACTCAAATTGACGATGAAAGAAATGGCTTTGAAGTTACCAGAGGACCAGGGTTTTATCTAGAAGTAAGTGCATTTGGTGTATTGAAAATTTGCCTTTTTGTATTAAAAATTGCGCTCAAATTGGAGCCTCGGCAAATTTTTTACATTCCTTTGAACTTGTAAAACAAATCGTCAAAATTCTTACCCATCTCCAAAAAAAAATGCATAACTCCCAAACCATATAGAGCAGCAAATGAAAATTTATACACAGTGTAAACACTAGAGACGGTAGTATATGGTCTAAATTTCACTGAAGTTAAAGAATATGCTGATTATTCACTGCCGTTTATAACAAAAGTTGCAAAACGAATCTTTATGATTCTTACACATCTACAAGGAAAAAGTCATGACTTCCAAACCATATAGAGTGACAAATTCAAATTTATACACAGTGTAAACATTAGAGACTGCAGTATATGAACCGAATTTCACTCGATTTGAAGTATTGGCGGATTTTGCACGAATTTTCAAAATTCTTTCACAACCACAAAGAAAAATGCGCAAGTTCTAAACCATATAGAGTAGTAACTTCAAATTTATCCACAGTGTAAACACTAGATACGGCAATATATAGACCGACTTTCACTCAAATTAAAGTGTCGGCGCATTTTTCACAATCGTTTAATTTGAAACTTGCAAAACGAATTTTTCAAATTCTTTTACACCCCAAAAAAAATGTGGAACTCCTAAACCATACAGAGTAGCCACCTCAAATTTACACACAGTGTAAACACTAGATACGGCAATATACAGACCGAATTTTACTCAAATTAGAATATCGGCTGATTTAACCAATCATTTATATTGAAAATTGACAAACCAATTTTTTTAATTCTTTTACACCCCTCAAAGAAAAATTCGGAACTTCCAAACCACATAGAGTAGCAACTTCAAATTTACCCACAGGGTAAACACTATATACTGTAACATGCAAACCGAATTTAAGTCAGATTGGTGTATCGCTGACTGCTTCACAATCGTTTATCTTGAAGCTTGCAAATCGAATCTTCAAAATTCTTACACATCCCCAAATAAGCAGGAAAAAAATAGTATTTAACTAAAATAGACACAGCTTTCCTTTAGTTCAATTAAAAATATTTTTGTATGTATGCACATATGTAAATATGTATCTATTATAATTTTTATCCTCCGCGGTATATCTATCCCACTTTCAAGTAATATTTATATGGGGATATAGCTCAGTGGTAGAGCATTCGACTGCAGATCGAGAGGTCCCCGGTTCAAACCCGGGTGTCCCCTGGCTAACTTTTTTAAATTGCTTTTTTTAAATTCCTTTCAATAACTAATGGAGAACTAATAACTAAACGAAACGTTTAAAATTAATTAAATGATAATAAATTAACTTATGAATAATAAATACAAATTTTATAAATCTAAATCAAATTATATTCACATCTGATAATTTTTTTCTAAATTTTGGCTATTGTGTTGGTTTTATTTATGTTTTACGTCTTCATTTTTTTCTAAATATTCTTTAAGGCAATATAAGACATTATTTTAAATATGTATAAGTAGAGTTTCACAGTGTTGAACATCAAGAAGGAATTTAAAAAATTTCCTTTTTTATAACACACTTTCAACAGTGAAGAGAAATTGTAATTTTTGGTCCAGCGATTTTGACCTTATGGACATCATCAGGGCTTGCAAAAAAACAATTACTGAAGCGCTAAATATTGCAGCGCGTTTTGGTCCTTAACAGCTTGTTTAATGCTGTTAAGGAGTTATTGTTGAGTTAATTTAATTAATTAACTTATTGTTAATGAGTTAAAAAGTTAAGTTAAATTATTGATTATGTTCTCTGGGCTTTTACTCCTTAGCCTTTGCATGCTAAAGTTTCACTGTTGTAATTACTTGAGTGTATTACATAAAAAAGCTTGATTAATAACAAAGATTAACAAAAGCATATGAAATCAGTATAAAAATCCACAACAAACCAACGATATAGATTAATAAAATAAAAAAATTTAAACTTTCAGGTTTTATCGATAATTCTCAATTCCTGCCTATGTGTTATGTCCCTTTATGACATGTTTTTCTCCCGACGGGAAGGAGGCGATCCGACAACAACGTCGATGCCCGTCGAACCCACAACGTATGGAAATCCAGGATTTCGGGATCGAGGCACGAATGGTAAGTCCAGATTTTTTACACGGTCGCACAAATCGACCTTTTGATATTGGTAGCAAACTCTACTAGCTTAAGCTACTGAGAAAGTCAACAGAATGGAAAAAGCGCTGGAAAATTTTCCTTGTATCTTTCCTAAAACAACCCAATCAACCATAAAACTGTTTTAAAAGCCGATATTAAATCCTATTGCTGGACCCTATAAAGGGCGTATAAAAGATAAAAGATCGGTATTTCCTCAAAGCCATTTTCGCTGCGTAAAAGTCTTAATGGGGTAAAAAAGGGAAAGGTATCAAGACCAACAAAATCCCTATTACCTTTGCCATAAAATATTTAATGACCTTCTTGAATTTTCCGGACTATCCATCTTCAACGCCATAATGCCTCAAAGTGATATTTTTTTATATTCTGCTACCTCGCGATTTTGTCTTCTGCCGGCAATATGAGTGGAAACAGAAAATTGTCAATAATTTTGTTCGATTTTCAGGTGGCATTTCCATGACGGACGCCAGTGGAAAACCTTATACAGGGGCGTCCAATGGATCGATGGCTTCCATGAACACCACATCCACCACATTGGGTTCGACTAATGGGTCCACTGTAGGGTCTTCCATTGGAACTGCAAGGTATTTTTGAAAAAATTAAACACGCTTTGAGAGGTAAAATTAATAAAGCTGTTAAATATTTAACCCGGTAAAAATATGCCAATTTTCACGGGAATATGAGCGAAAATTTCAATCTGCTTCCCGAAGCGATCATTCTTGGCATACATAAAAGTGGACGCTCCGACTAAGAGGAATTTACATGACAGTCGATCTAAAGCCGCAGAGTGTAATTTTGAACTGAAAATTTCACATTTGTCAGGTTGTGTTGATTTGAATACCCGATTTCTTGCGTAATAAGAATACTTCATTCCCGAAACTCAGCTAGTGTGAATAGTCAATTACAAATGCAAAAGTATTGGCTCAAAATGTTGCAAAAGTGCTGCAGGTTTTCGAACTTTCTGTTCTTGGGTCACGTTTCGTCATATTTTAGCCATTATCAGGTGTTAAATAATAGATATAACCGAAACAATGACCCAAGAAAAACTTGCTGTGCTTGATTCCGCAAACTAAGTTTTAATAGATTTTCAACGAAAATGGTACAGTTTTTGGTCAATTTTTTTTCGAAAAAGACACTGTTGTCCTTGGGACAACGTTTCGGCTATAGTTTAGTGATCCAGTATTTTAAAGCTCTGAAAATGGCTAAAAGATCGAAACGTTGTTGCAAGAAAGACAGGGCTTTTTTCCAAAAATTTCTGATAAAAAAATCGCCCCATTTTTGTCCAAAGCCTTTTATATTTTTTGGGCCATCGTTTCGTCCACATTTATGCCGTCATCTGAACTCTGGGATAAAATATACCCCAAACGTTGACTCAAGAAAAACGGTGTTTTTCCCAAAATGTTTTGATCAAAAACTACGTCATGTTTGTCGGAGTCGAAGAAATTTTTTTTCGTAAATAAGCACTTTGTGACCATGTTTTTTTATCATGAGGCCTTCCAGAGCCCTGATAATCGCTTAAATATGGGCGAAACGTTGCTCGAAAAAAATCAAAAACATCTCTGAAAGGCTTCCAACGAAAGACGTGCAGTTTTAGGTGACCGATTTTTGCAGCAACTACTTCGGTGCAAAAAATACGATTTTTCACCGCAAGTCCGCCACAAGAAAATTCAGTCTTATAAAGTAAAAAAATAAATAAAATATTGTATTTATTTTTCAGGTCGCCACTACGGAGCAGCTTAAAGAAACCTAAACCGAAAGATGGATTGGGAATCCAAAATCCTGGATTCAGTGGAACTTCTCCCACACTAAATCGTAATGGAAGCACGAAGAAAGTGCGCATACAGACTCACAGTACCGAAGTGTAATTAGCCAAAATTCGCACACTTTAGAAAACGTTCCAATGTGGTTAATACAGGGTGTTTTAGTGGCAACCGTTCAATCGTTGTTATAATCAATTGATATTTTCGTTATAAAACTTGTCTTTGTTACACATTTATTAAATGTTTAGGCCTGCTTTAACTAAACGTGTCCATTTTCTAGTCTATCTGGAAATTATCTTTGTGTATTTACTTTATTCCTTTGTTATATTTTGTATAGTTATTGCTTTACTAGTCCGGGTAGCAATTAAATAAACAACCGGTAGAGAAATATTATTTTAAAGCACACCAGAAAGTAAGGATCAAGAGGCGATACGCAATTTATTTTATTTATTGTTCGGGTATCAAACTAATCGTTTGGTGTATTTCTTCGTTTACAGTGTGTTAATTTATCCAAAGATAGGAAGGTTGAGTTTCTCCTGAGAAAAGCTTTACACACTAAACATGATTAGTTCTTTCCCCGACTTGTATATAATAGTATATTAAGAATTTACATTCCCTATCCGTCCATTTTGTTCATAATGTTTATTAAGTTTTAAGAAATTCTTTTTTGGACATTATTTAGCGTTTTATCTGCTGTTGGTTTTCTGTGTTAACACATCTATATATTTTATATAAAGCGACTAAACCAGCAAACTGAACTTGAAATGTTGCTCGTTGTTCTGGCAGTACGAAGGAAAAACTGGCCCAGAATTTTGGAAAAATCCACCCAAAATGGTTGTGAAGTTGTTCAATGTAGAATCAGCTCCTAGTTCTGAGTGGTGAGCTTGAGTCGAACAACAGATTGTTTTATTGGTTTTCTCTTCAAACCCGAAAAACATGAAATAATTGTGGCCGAAATCTGGCTCGTAATGTATTGTTAATAGTATTTTGTCATGTATTTTATTATGTAAATGTGGTTTTTATAAATCTTGTGATACGAAGCAAAATACAAATCTGAATTTAAGTGTTCGTCCAAATCAATCCTTATCACCCAGTAGACAAGAATCCTACAATTTTGAAATTATTGCGACACAAGTTTGGCGCTTTACTTAGAAACTTCTCGGTCTCTTGTAATTTTTGGCACCAGTCAGTGCAAGTGTCTGCGACCGTTTCTGTTACATGTGCGAGAAACATCATCAAATCTTCGTCTGTTTCCTTACACCCGCCTCTACTCATTTCAAGTCCGATTCCATTTTTTTACCAGCTCAGAAAACCGCGTTGTCTTATCGAAACATATATTTATATATGGTACATACATAAACATAAAAGATCTATACATTTTTACAAAATTCCCCGACTTAAACACTCAGCAACTAGAACTAGACAGGATACTGACTAGAGTTTGTAAACACCATATGTTTTTCATTGGTTTAACGTCTAAATCCTGATTGTTTAAAAAAATATATAATATTTTAAATTAATATCAACAACATCCACGGCGAGGTATATACTGCGTCATAAACCGGCTAGATATTTTTATGGTTAATTCCCCAAGCGCTCTCATTTAGAGTGGACGCTAGAAATTAGCTCCCTCCTCTTGTAGACTGGGCCTGGAGCCGTCCCTGACTGGGCAAGATTCTGCTCTATCTTACTGGGCGCAGCCTCCAGCGTTTCTGAGTCCGGAATATGTCTAGTTGGGTGTCTGGAATCAGTGTATCTCCTTTTGGTGTACTTCTTTTTATCCCTCTCACTGTTCGCGGTCGAACTCGGGCTGGAAGGAGCTGCAGCTGCAGAAGCCTGCCCCATTTTGGGCTTCGCCTCATCATGAATTATCCGCTCAAAGTCCGCAGTTTTCGACTTCAGCACCGCATTTCCAATGCTGGTAATGCTCGGAGTGAACCTTGGCTCTCTTTCTGGAAACGACGATGCACTGGAACTCTTAAGGATCTCCGATCCAGTCCCATACATGGCCTTTAGGTCACGAACTTTCTGGATGGTCTGAGGACTGGGCCCTTGGGCGAAGGACACTTTCTGGATAATCGGAGCCTCTTTCATCATACTACGGTCTTTTGGTGCCGGTTTCAGCACATTCACATCATCAGGGATGTAGTTGACTGAAGTGTGCACACTATCAGGTGACGTAGGCGGGCTGCTGGTCCAGCTAGGAGGCGAGGAGAAGTGCCCATGGTCTGCTATGCTTGAAGATACTGATGTTGGTGTATTTTGGAGTGGTGAAGAGTAGGTGGTTGGTGCAGAAGACCCCACAGCTGAGTCATAACCTTGACCTGAAACAACGATTGACTTAAAGAGTTTGAAGACATGGGCTAACTGACTGCAACGTTACCTAGAGACAACGACCCTGTGACTGGCTGAATATTGGAAGTTATCGATGAATCACTTCCAACCGAGGTGTTTCGTCTCCTCTGAGGAAGCACTGATCCTTTAATCACTCCGATCGTCATGTGATGTCTTCCGTTTTCCACTTCTTCTATATAAGGAATGTCATCATCTGCAATTTCAGGTGCGTTTTTGATTGAAGCATCCATCTTCAGTGCGTTGTGCGGGTGCTTACCAACATTATAGGAAATTCCGGCTTGAACAGGGATGGTCAGACTGGCGGTAAGAACGCCAGTATTATCAAGGACATAAGGGCTGGATTTGCGTCTTTGGTGCAGATCAGCATCGGACATCCTGAGCACTCTGTTAACGTCCTCAGTATGGGCAGAACTGGTACTTTCCAAAGACGAAGATCTTCCCTTGTACGCATCTTCATCTCTTGGCGAACTGCGGATTCTCGATAGAAGGCCGTCTTCGTACTTCTCGCGCTTCCGTCTCAGGCTGCGCTCTCGAATTTTGTCCTTGTGCCTGCAAAGGAATATACCGGAATATACAGGGTGTCCTATAGATAATCACACAAAACAGAATGGCGAATTCTTGGGGAGAAAATATTAATTTTTGCTTGGTGCAATGCCACCATTTATAATTGTAGGTTTTTTAACTTTGACTACCGTTTCCATTAAATTTGGGAGATTGTTAAGCTCCCGATATTTGGGGCCCAGGTGGCCAAAATTGTAAACAGCTGCTTTGATGGTTAGTATGTCTTTAGACGAATTATTCAATAAATCATTGGAAAATGGCGAGCTTCCAAACACTATAGAGGGAGAAAATATTTCATTATCCCTGCATTCAAAGGAGAAAACTGGGCAAACACAGACCGTGAAAAAGGGAATGTAGTAATTTATTAAGTTGCCTTTTTTGCTCAGGCCTTAGCAGCAGCTCATGAACGGCGAAAACCTTCATTTATTGCCGTCCCCAAAAATACCTTTTTCTGGAGAATAAAACACACTTAACCTCCCTTGAGAAGAAACTTGAGATTCCAGAAATTCACACCTCAAACTAAAGTGCTCAACTAATTGAACGTTGCACAGCCAAATGCGCCCCAACTTTCGAACTGGATAAATTCTGATCGCTTCAAACGATTTGGATTCTGTTTGAAGCGTTATTGAGCCCCGTTCTTTCTGTTAGTCGATGATTTGATAAAAATTAAGCATGTCGTTTTTTGGGTCCCAACCCCAAAAGTTTAAAGATAACCAAAATAACTCCAGATAGATAGCCAAAATAAAAAAACGTTGTTTTGTCCAACTCAGAGTATGAGGGGCTTTCACTAATTTTGCAACGTTTCATTTGCCACCCTGTACAAAATTTATCTGAAGCACAAATTTTTTGCAAAAACTGGCCCTAATGGAAAACGAATCGCACTAAATAACGCTTCAAACCGAAAGCAAAGCGCTCTCAGAAATCAGAATTTGTCCAGATCCAAAGTTAGTCGAAATGTGTCCGGGTGTATCTACTTAGCAGCAGTTTAGTCTCTTCAATCAATCCGGCCCAGGGGTTCTGGGCAGGCTAAATATCACCCTTTCCATAATTTAGGGCCAGGAAACCACTCAAAACTAGTTAAGAAAATTTTCCAATTTTACCTCACTCTCATGCCAACATTGGGGCCTCCAGTGGCGGCCGTTTCATGCAAGAACTCCTCCCGCGAGTACGTTTTCTTTGGTTCAGATTTGATATCGAATGCGTATTCGGTTGAGACTTCTGAGGTGGGATGCGTTGGGGTCCAAGGAGCTGAATTTGGCTCAGAATCCAGTTCATCCACTGACCTAGAAAACGCGACTTGTTAGGAAACTCGCCTAGAAAAGCCTCATTTTAGGCGTACTCATCTGCGGCCGCTACAGCGTCTTTTTTGGTCAGGATCTGTTCGAGAGCTTCCGGATAGGAGTCAGTCATGTGCAAGTAAATTTCATCAACCAGATCAGCAGGGAGGGCGAAAATGTTTTTGCAGTGGTCGATGAGAGTCCGCACCACATTGATGACATCAATGCGATCTTCTGATCGGTCTGGTACGTCTTTCGAGCCCGGTTTGATGCAGTGGAGGATATTTGGAGCGAATACTGTGGCCAAGTTGTTGGAGTCCATTTTGTTGCCAACCAGCTCTTCGCCTGGCAAAGAGAACAAAGCTAGTTAATTGAGTTGGTTTTTCAGAAAACGCTTCTTGTACCAAGTGCGTTTTTTCGATCATTGGCGTTTTCAGCCACACGAGCCAGGAAACTGAGCAATGCGTACAAAGTGTCGCGGTTTGCAGCTGGTAACAGTTGCACCAAGTGTTGCAGGGCTTCCAGCTGAAGTCTTCTATTTCTTATCCCTGAAATCATGGTTGTTTCCTGTTTGAACTGATTAGACTGTTTGCAACAGCTCACTTACTCTGTGTCTGGATAAAGGCATGATAAAGATCTCTGCATAAAAGTGGATCGGGCAACTCCCGGAGGTACTCCTTGAGTAAATTGGCTACATCATGAGGACATTGGCTGTCGTCAATGGTGGTCTCTTTGCCGCTATCGAAATCCTCCCGCAACTGTAATTTATTGCATTTTCGGATACATTTTTTTGATTTCCATCGGTTTTCCTCACCTGCCGCAGCCGTTTCTTCGACGCACTGACTCTGAAAATCCCAAAAGTGTGCAGCCCGTGTTGCTCCAAATGCCTTATGCACTCGCTCAGGATATTTGGGACTAATACCGATTCATCGTCGTTGATTGCTCCCGGAATATCCGCAGCAGATGAACAGGAAAGGGCGTCCAGAAGTCCTGGCACTGAACCGACTATTCGCTCCCGGCCCATTAGACTTTCGCATGAGCCAGTCTGCAAGCAATTTGAACAAAAAAAATTGAAAAAAATAAGAAACACCAACGCAGGATCGTGTTTATATCGATGACGTGCGAAACGATTCAAAATGCGAGATTTGACATAGCCAGGGTAAAAATATCGTCAAGGTATTAACCTCGGTTATAATTGTTATGTCTTTCGTATTTTTAGACGCATTATAGCAGACATATCGGCCTCATAAAACCTGTTAAAACTCTAAGGGGAAACGCAACAGATGGACCAATAAAACTAACTATATCGCCTAGAAAACATTCGTTTTTCGTTTTCAAACATATTCCCATTTCTTTGATCAATCGGAACAATCGTTTTACCGAAATTTAATTGGACAGTTAACTATAGGATTTCGGGCGAAAAGTGGCTTGTTTTGCGTCATTGCATAAAAAATGCAATGTTTTGTATTTAATTCCGGAAACAACACATCTGAAGGAAAATTAACAGCACATGTTATTAAAAGTAAATGTGTGTAATCTGTAAGTAGATGACTGTAATGCTAAGAGATTCAAACGATTTTAATATACTTGTTAATATGTTTGTAATTTGTATTTTAGGATGTATATTTTAACAGAGCTCTTCTTTTAAACTAGTAACGACTGTGAACGTATATTTTAGACAAACTGATGATGGTGGAGAAAAGCACCGAAACGCATTTGTAACATTTTAAATGATAAACAATAAAATTGACTGGAACCCAAGAATTTCTTGTGAATTAAATTAAACGTAGAGTAATGACGGAATTCTAAGGAACCATTTTAGGCAGCGGAATGGAGCCACCCGCACTCGATGTAAGAAATTTTAGTTTACTTGCGTTGTGCATTTGGTTCCATTCGAGCAAGTGGTTCCCTCATAATTAATTTGAAAGTTTGCAATTTTTGGACGCGGTGTTTCATGTTTGGGCCGCGCTCTTCTGGAGCGAATTTCTCAGAAACCATTTGAGGCACCGGAATACGGCCATCAGAAGTCGATAGAGGAAGCCGCGACTTTCTTGCAGTGTGCATTTGGTTGCATGCAGTGGTTTGTTCACAATGAATTCTGGAAATTTACATTTTTTGGACATGAAATTGCGTTTATGCGCCATACTCTTCTGGCGAGAATGTATCAGGATCAATTACAGGCACTCGATTCTGGTCATCAGCAGTCGATAGAAGAAACTTCAGTTTTCTTGCGGTGTCCATTTGGTTCTATTCAAGCTTGTGGTTCCTTCATAATTAATTATTAAAATTGGCAATTTTTTGGCGCGTTTTTCGTTGCTGTGCCATTCCGTTCTGGAGTAGGCCTGGGTAACTCAGTGAATTTGAGTGAGTGAGTTGGCGCAGTGCTACGCAAATGGCTTAAAAATGCTGACAATCTTAAGGTATTTTCCGTGAAAAATTTTGAAATAAATTTTTAATCCTTCGTCGTTTTGTAAAAAGTTGTGAAATCCTTTTCCGGTTCGAATTTGGAACAAATTTTACAAAAACTTTTTTTAGTTTCGACTTCGGGACAAAAACGAAAATGAATTCCTACCATTTTTTTCCCGAAAACTATAAAGGTTTTCTCCAAAACCGATCACGAAACTAAAAGTCTTTAACTGAAAACGCGAAAAAAGCATTATTTTCTGATGATTCTCTCCTTTTATGACAATAATGGGGTGTTTTCAGCCAAAAATGACAAAATTAGGTTTGCCAGAAAATTAGGCTCATTCATCGGTTTGTAGGGAACTTTAGAAAACCCAATTCAGCTTCGAATTTGCCACCAAGAACCAAATAATTTTATTCAGTTTTTTGCCGAAAGTAATTAGGACTATCTTGAAAAAACGATCAGAGAGCAAAAGTTTTAAAAAAATTATTGGGAAAATTAGCCGCTCTCATCGCTCTGAGGATTTCTAAAGTTCTTTTAAATTTTCAGCTCATTCCAGTTTCAACAAAGTTTCTATATGCAATTCTTTCTACGAAAAAATCGCATTATTTTTTAGTTTTACTTAAAATACTGGCAATCTTCAGGTTCAAAAAAAGATCAATTTTATTGGAACACTCGCCTCCTTAAACGCTTTCCAAAAAGTTTTCCAAACATTTTTGCAGCTTCGGATTTTGGACAAAACCCTAATAATTATTTGTAGGTGTTTTTCAAAAAGCGAAAGTTCATAATCATTTATTTGGAAAACCCTTGGAAACTGGAGTTGTTCACTTTTAGGCCATTATTTCTAAACAACACTGTCTTTAAACAGGAAGCGTTTTTCGTAACGTTTTACTGTAAAATACTGGCAAACGGAATATTTCATCCAAAAAAATGAAGAGATCGATTTTACAAGAAAACTCGTCGATTTTCTTAGTCTTTTTTTAGTTGTTTCAGGAAAAGAAGTAAAAGGTTACTCAGAAAAATGTTGATGACCTTTGTTTAGATGTGGAATTTCCAGTCTCGGGTCTCGTAAAGCTTTAATAAATGTCTCATAACTCAATAACCGATGAGCTATAACTCGTTAACTCAAAGAGCGGCAACAACTCAATAGCGCAACTCAACACAGTGTTACCTCGGCCTATTCTGGAGCGCCTGTCGAAGAAACCACTTAAGACACCGGAATGCGACCATGAGTAGTCAACAGGGAAAATTTTCTTCAAATTCTTTCGGAAACTCAAAACATTTTATCGATATGATCTTGATGACTCAACAGATCCTTTTGGCCGTTACAGAACCAAACGATTTTGCCTTTTCACTTGCTTCCATCTTTTTAAAGGGATTTCTGAATACTTTTTATAGTAAAACACGGTTTTCAGCAAGAGCTTTTGAATAGAAATTTCCAGCAGTTTTTAATGTATAAACAGTTTGATGGTTCAAGGATAAATGCAAACTTTTTGCTTCCATTCCTCTAGAGGCTAGAAATTTTTCAGTTAAATTACTACGATATTTCATTTTTTAGCCAGTTTGGAGGCATGAGCTAGTCAAAAATTCGAAGCTTGCCTGGGGCGAAGCCTTGAACAAACTTGATTTAGATTTGACATAAAATTGGTTGTTCTCCAAACAGAGAGGATTTTTTCAAATCTTCTTCTGCTGCAATTTTAAAAGAATTTAAATGTAAATATTTGTAAATCTCAATCCAGGTGATGACTGATTTCGTCATGAATGTTGATCACTCCTGCATTTCCCAATCAGAATTATCTCAATCCCATTGGATTTACATTGACTCTTTCGATTCAGCTAAACGGTTTGACTTTTTGGCTTATCTCTTCCAATTTTGTTCAACTTCATCCGCTTAAAGAAGGCATTTTTTTCAGCCGCATCATTCATGCATATTCCTGTTAGATTCTCCCAATTTCTGTTTTTCAAAACGATCGACGATGCCCTAGATAAGTCGATTACACAATCCATTCTGAAAATATCGAACAAATTTTGTAAAAATAAACAGATTGTAAAATGGGATCCAGTGGAAACTTGACAGGTGGATCCAAGAATGACGTCAACTCGGCAGGATGGTGAAATTGTACCAAATCGATGACGTAAATGTGATGCAAACCAGAATAGAAGGAGTTTTCGAAGTAGGGGCGAGTTGATTCCTGAATTGGGACAATTGAAAGCTGATAATTTGTTTAATAAAAGAGAAGAAAGTGCAGAATCAATAAAAACGTTCAAGGAAAAAGTGGTAACAGAGAATAAGGTGTAAACAATTTGAACTGGCTTGAAAATAAGGCTCCCAGAAAGTGGGGCACATGTGGAAGCCTCAACTCATCACCTTGCTTGATCTCTCCAAAATCTGAGTTGTTTTGTTAAGTTCCTGCAACGTTTGCAGGGGGAGACCAGAAAAATTCCGCACTCATGATCTGACGACGTTGTTTTCGAGAACTTTGACCACTTGCAAAAACTCTCTGTTTTTCAGCGATTTCAAAATAAGCGCCGGCTTGGCCAGAGAACATTTGGACCACTATAAAATACTAATTAAATTTTTAAACGGACCACTGAAATTTCTACTCGTGTTTTTTCACAAAATAAATAAAACTTCCCATAATAGAAACGCGAATTATTTGCGAACCGATTTTTTTTCTCTCGCCCGACTTTCGACAGGAAGGAATAATATACGTTTTTGAAAGATCATTCGCGATTTATAGTCGACGATTTTTCAATATATTGAAAATATACAATGTATCCGAGAATAATTTACGGGATTCTGTGCGGTGGATTACAACAAATGCGTCCTACCTCGTCTCCTCTTGGTGAATCGATTAGCGAACTGAAACTGGCTCTGGATCCGTGCCGGGCCATGTTGCTTCTTTCTTCCATGGAACTCACCAAATCCGATCTGCCTGATCCTCTTAATCTATCATTTTCCACGCATTGGGTTAATGGAATGCCGAATACCAAATTAGCACTTGAATTGCCATCTGAAACATCAGCTTCGTTAATTTGTGTTTCAACTGAAACAAGCTGCATCTAGTTAATAAACTTTCCGCTAGACATTCAAGGAAAGTTAGGATAAATTTGTAAAAAATCGCGCATAATTTGGGAATAAAACAGTAATTTTCTAGTGAAATCATAGTCGTAAAAAGGTATTTAAAAGTGAGGCTTCCAGACGCCACCAAGCGGAATAATAGTCTCGCCAACATTTTATTGCCTATGACTGGATGCGCAAAAATGACAACTGTTTTAAATTTTTTGGCAACATAATCCAGAATGCGAATAAATAGGAATTTGCTGCCTTCTAGGAGAACACACAGTGCGAAATTTCCTTCATATACAAAGGGATAAAACTGGGTAAAAACGCGATCTTGCATGGTTTCAGCTAGCGCTGCAGCGCATTATTTTAGCCGGCCAATAAATTGGCTATAGCGTCAACTTTGATAATATCGCAAAAGTGAATTTAATGAAAACGATTCTAAAAATATCGCGCATAAAACAGCTCTCTAATAAAGTGTTATTTCCAATTTTTATTGGCATTGATATACGTATGTGTATTGTATTTTTAACCTTGTTCTTGCATCGATAAATACAATATTTTTCCAGTATTTTGCTGCAAACCCATATAGGTACATACAAATATAAGCAGACAAAACCAACTAACGAAAATAAAAATCTATTTTAGCCAAAGGAATTATTAAAAATGTATAAATACGCAAAAGTTGTGCAAAATTGCAATAAATGCTTGTATCTAACTAAAGCCTTTTTGCCCTTTACTCTATGCTGGATACGGAACAGCATTTCGATTCTTCGAAGTTTAGGACGTAATTTGCATGATATTTGCGAAACCCTTAAAGCAAGGTTCAATGGACGCTCCTTATTTAACCCTATTAAGAAATGTGAAAATCGGAACAAGTCGTCACCCCTACAAAGACCTCAAAAGGAAAAATAAATGCATTTTTAGCAGGAAATTGAGCTAAACTTTTTTTTTTAAGTGAATCCTAGCGCTCAAGAAATTTCGAGCTCATAAACGCAAAAAAACTGCAAAGAGAAGCGAAGAAAAGTGAACAGACGCGAAGCGAATCGAAGAGGAGCAGTAAGAAGGGTAGAGAAACAAACAAATGAGAAGTGAAACGAATAGAAGCAAAGATAAGCTAATGGAGACCAACGCAAGCTTTAAGAAAGAACAAACTTGAATTAGTTCTTGAATTATCTAGTCTCAATCATAGAGTTGAGCACAGTGGAAAAAGCCATTTCTTTCCAAGCTGCTCATCCACTCAAGCTTTTGCTTAACATTCTACTTCGCAACTGACACAAGATTTGTTAAAGAATAGAAGAAAACACACAATTTTTCAGTTCAGGCTGCAAACATTATTCCAATGTAGCAGTGATTTGCTACATTCATATCCGTTTTGCAGACTTGCAAAAGGCGTTTGACAATATCCAACACTCCAACACGAGAAGATGTTAAAAGAAGGTTCTTGAAGAAAAGAACCTAAACTGTACTAAACCAGCACTTAACCAATCATTGACTAATCAGCGAACAATTTGCATTGCAAAGATCAAGACTATTTTCAACCGTGCAAAATATTTTCGCATGTCGTACCTGTGAAAAGTCACATGTTGCTGCCGGTCACGTTTGACGAACCGATTATTTGACAGCTGGAATTCCAACGTAAAAATAAAAATAAACCGATCTGTGCGAAATTGCGCGCCAACGCGATGATGATCGGAAACTCAACGTGTCTGTCTCTTTTAACTTCAAGAAAAACTCTTCCGTTTCGGGAAACTAAAGCGCACTTTGACGAATAAATCAATGATCAGTTACCTTTTTCAACGTCCTTCCTTCCACTATCGAAGATTCCGGTAGTCAAAGCCTTCCGCTTCAGAAGATACGGCCTTCGTTTCTTCGTTGGGATTGCGCCAATGTTTTCTGCAAATCAAACCCAAAGTCATCAAACCTATTCATCTGAAAGGCTGCTTCGGCTCTTACCAGTGGGAACTTTCACACATACTCCTAAATTTAAGGCCTGCAGCTTTGCTATGGCCACTTTCTGAAGCACTTTTCTTTCCACTTCACTTAAATGCAACAAGTCGGTGTCTTGCAGAATCACCTGCCGTCCAGACAAACTGTTCCAAACGCAGCTGCCCTGCAATAAATTAATTCCGAAAAATCAGATGAAGAACCGAAATTTGAACAATACAAGCTGAGTCCGAGTAAATTCTGTTCGCATTTTTTTTGGAAAAGTGGACATAATAAAAAAGCGACAAATGTTCTATCGGGGCTGTGTGCTGAAAGAACCCTGTAAGAGTTTTTGAGTGTTCCATTTTAGGGTCATGTTTGAGAAGCTTTGCAAAACTTGGTTTGAGCAGCCGCTCAACTGTTTTTTGACTTGGTGAAAATCCCAAAAAGATTAGAAGCTTTGGCTTCAACGTGACATTTTTTAAATTGGCTAATGCAAGTGACCGAAATCGAAATTTTTTGCGTCACGTTCGAAAGCCTCTGAAAAATCAAACTCGCCCTGGACTTCAATGAAACTTTTTCTGAGCTTTCCTTTATTGGTTTGTTTCATAGTGGAACAACTTTGGACAGCAGCCATCTTTGGTTTGTTTTTAAAGGTGCTTCCTCTTAGGGTTATGTTTGAGARGTTCTAGAAAAATSARAATAGCACTRAATTTGRCRGAAGCTCCATTTCAGCATCAGTTCAAATGTTCCTTTGACATGGTGAAAATTTCAGTTCATCGGCAGCTTTGGTTTTAACGCGACATTTTTTCAATTGGCTAATGCAAGTGGCCAAAGCCGAAATTTTCTGCGTCACGTTCGAAAGCCTCTGAAAAATCAAACTTCAATGAAACTTTCTCTGAGCTTTCCTTTATTGGTTTGTTTGATAGTGGAACAATTTTGGGCAGCAGCCTTCTTTGGTTTGAAAGTCAGATTTTTTTCAATCTGACTATGTAAGACGTAAGTTTTTAAAGGTGCTTCCTCTTAGGGTTATGTTTGAGAAGTTCTAGAAAAATGAAAATAGCACTGAATTTGACGGAAGCTCCATTTCCTCCAATGCTCTTTTGACTTGGTACAAATCTCAGTTCATTAGCAGCTGTGGTTTCAACGTGACATTTTGTCGATTGGCTACTGCAAGTGTCCAAAATCGAAATTTTCTGCGTCACGTTCGAAAGCTTCTGAAAAATCAAATTTGTCCTGGATTTCAATGAAACTTTTTCTGAGCTTTTCTTTATTGGTTTGTTTTATAGGGAAAAAAATTTGGGTTGCAACCTTCTGTGGTTTGAAAGGAAGATTTTTTTCAATCTGACTATGTAAGTTTTTAAGGGTGCTTCCTTCTGGGGCTATATTTGAGAGGTTCGTAAAAATTCAAAATAGTACTGATTTTGGCAGAAGCTCCAATTCAGCATAAACTCAAATGTTCTGCTGACTTGCTCAAAATTTCACTTCATTGGCAGCCTTGGTTTCAACGTGAGACTTTTTTCAATTGGCTTCTGCAAGTTACCGAAATCGCTTATTTGCTGCATCACGTTCAAATCCCTCTGAAAAATTACAGTCACATTGGGTGTCCATGAAACTTTGTCTCAGTTTTCCTTTATATGCATGCTTTATAGCGGAAACATTTTGAATCGTAACTTTGTTTGGTCTGAGAGTGAGAATGTTTTCAATCAGACCATGTAAGTGTTTGTGACTGCGTTTTATTAGGGTCACATTTGAGGAGTGCTACTTGATCAAATGCTCAGGTTGGATCAAAGCACAGTTAATAACTTTTTTACTGTAATACACTCCTAAATCCGGCTGATGAGCTCTAATAGGTAAAAACAAAAACTTGCGCTTATGCCATTTTTATATTCGGTTTTATTAGCAAACTTTAAACAAATGTTTGGTTCTCTAGACATTTTAATCGTCCACACTGTTTAGAATTTGGAAAGTGCCCCAAAACACACTTTTCACAAAGCGTTAGTTTGCGACTTCAAAAAGACTATATGAAATGTCAAGACAACATTAATTTTAAAAAATCGCCAAACTCAATTCTCTCACATTCAAACTGTGAGAAACTCTAAAATAAAACAATCAAAAACATGCTTCTGTAAGGAAACAGACACAATTTAAAGCTGCATCTATTCAATACGCACAAAGTGTTGATCTAAATATAAAAGTTGTTCTCTTAAGTTTCCTTATTCTGAGAAACAAACCGTTTATTATTTGATTCAACGCGTTTAATTATTAACACTGGCCATCGTTGATATGGAAAATCGATAATACCCAATCCTGAAATAAACTGTAATTGGCTGCATGCATTACTTGAAACAAACGCACAAATTGATGGTGTTAAATTAGTGTTTTCTCGCTTATAATAATGTGTGGTTAATAGTGCTCGAATGGGAGCTTTGGTTGATTCTGAATCCATAATATTCTAGCACATTCGCAGTAACATGAATTTGCCATTTGCTTTCATCGCGTTGCGAATCTGTGGAATTTTTCATGTTTTTCAACTTTTCGAGCCATAATATCAGCCGATTTTCAACAGGTAATTCTTTGAAATGCGATTTTGTGGAAATATTTAGGCCTAGCTGCTGAGTGGCCAGAAATAGAATACTGAATGCCAGGCTTGATGCGAGTGAATTCATCAAGCAAAATCAAAAAATAGATAAAAATCGCGTTTAGTAATCAGTACAAAAGACTATTGTGAACTGCTGACAACAAGAAAAAATTCATGAGTAACTCGGATGGATCGGAACTGGATTATTAATAACTAGACTTTCATTACAGGCGTTTAATGTGTCTCAACAACCCACTACCCACGTTTGTCTGGCACTTTTTTTTTCATTAAAACAGTTGTAGTTTGGCCAAGGTTATTCTCTTGTAATTATTACATGCGTTTGATCAAATGGCTGTAAATTTTTTTATGGAAATGTCCCGGTCTTTCTCTGATTGGTTCTGATCTAGACATGCTCCCAAACTGAGCAAAGTCTAGTGACCAGGACTATTTGGTTTATTTCGAATGGAACTTTTTGTCAGAAATCTTTTTGCAACTCAGAATCAATTTTGCGCAAAAATACTCTTGGCTTTTCAGTTAAAGTTTACATCTGAAATAAATCTGAAAAGGGATCCTGTTTATGGATTTAAAGCAACATAATTGAAGGCGCTTTTGTCAAGATTAGAAAAAATAAGTTACTTTGCCCTTCACTTTGCAAATTGGTCTGGTCCAAACATTAAATTAGGCTTTTTAATCAATCTATCGATAAACCCGGCTTTCTTACCCGATTGGTCCAAGTACAGGGCGTTTGGGCAGGTCTGGTCTGACTCTTAGATCGTGACCGGAAAATCTTCTTTGCTACCATGCTGCCCTGTTGCATAACACTGGAGGACGACTTGCTTTTCTGCATAGCCGTGGCCGTTACTGCTGAAAATAAAAACAAATTATTGGCTTGAGCTGCGAAAAACTTGATCAAATGTTTCTCGCGTTTCGTGATTCGAACGCAGAAAATGTGTAAATCGTTTGATCAGCCGATGACTTTTTAAGCGAAAAATAGGCCTTATTTGGCAATCCATTGCATCAATGTACGTGTAATAAACACATTATTTAGGCTCAGCCTCAATAGTGCCATGAACCCACTTAATCATCTAAAGCAAAAAATCAATCAGAACAGAGGCTAAATTTTAAAAAAGTCAACTGAAAACTTCCAAGTTTCCCCTACAGCTTTCTTATCCAATGCATCCATTCTTCCCTTCCAAACAAAACATCCCCATACCTTCAATTTCATTTTTCCTCAACTGATTTACAAACCTTTTTCCTTATGCTCGTGCTTGCTACCATGCAGCAAGTGGCTTAAAAAGCCATGACTGCCCGATTTAACACTAGGAGGACTGCTCGGACTGCTCTTAACTCCATCTCGTTCAAAGACATCGATATCAATACTACTGCGAGCACTGGACACTCTGCTATCGTCCGAAATGTCGTAAACATCTGCCATTTTTAGGTCCCGATAAGTGAGAATCCATTCATCGTTGGTCTGGCAGCCCTTGTTCAAGCCATCATCATCCCCTGGCTTGGTTATTTCGCCCTTTGCCTTAATGTTGCGCAGATTCCTGTCGTAGTTGACTCGCTTGAACCCCACCGCTTTTTCAGAGTCCACGCTCTTCTTCCTGGCCATTCTCAGGTACCGTTTAATGGTGTCCGAGACGCTTTGAGAGACATCGTCATTGTCGACGCTGGATCTTCTTCTGATACCGTACTCCTTCTCCCGATTTTCCTCCTCTTCTTCTGCCTGTTTTTTCCTAAACTCCTTCTCGCATTCAGCAAGCACCCCTTCTGGCACTGGGTAGGTTTGCGTTCCCCAATCTCTATAAGTGATTTCTATGGTTTCAGCTTCGATCTCTATCAATGGAGGAGGATGCCTGGAGTAAAAGCCGTCACTTTTTTTGTCTCTAGAATATCCGCTGTATCCATCATATCTTCTGGAAGGCGAATCGAAGCCACTGCTGGAATATCCAGTGCCTCCTCTGCTGCCTCTGAAGCCCTTGGCCTTCCTCAGGTCGAAGTAGAGCTTTTCCAGCGCCTTTCTGTCTGTGAGCAAGTCAGAAATCACCTTGTCTCTGTTTGTGTAGTGTCCAAAGTATCTGGAGAGTGTATCAGTTAGAGTCCTTTGCACGCTGTCCCCTTGGAAACTCACATGGGGTTTATGCAAGGATTGGTGGCTGGAATATGGGGAAACATTGGGGGACAGATGGGCGTCCCCACTAGAACGCCCTGAGGGTGAGCTCGTGCGGCTTGAAGCCAAACTCAGATGCTTCTGCAGTCTCTTCACTAGTTCTTCGTAGTTAAAGTCCCCAGCTGCAGTCCTAGACGCGGAAGGAGTATCTGCTAGCTTCAAGTACTGTTCCAACATTGCGACTAGTTCGATTTCCTGCTGGGGTGGCGAAGATGCGGACGGAATAGTGCTTAACTCGTTGTCGTCTGTGGGAGTTGGGGTGCTCAAAAAGTCTTCGCGCATTTTCTTCAAGTCAAACTTGCCTTGATTTTTGGGCTCCAACAGCAAGTCCTTTGGACGCTCTGGTTTTAGAAAGTCAACTTCTGCCTCCGATATGGCCTTTCTGCAGCTGCCTCCTTTCCTAGAGGCACGCTTGCGTTTTTTCCTGAAGCCGATGGCTCCTGGATAGGAGTTTTTCCTCCAGAGCAGAAATTTGGGTTCTTTTCTGCAGAGCTCCTGGAAATGCGCCTCGATCTTCGGGATGTCCTCGACACAGTTTCGTGCCCCATCTGGGATGAGTTTCCGGCCAGCATCCGCCATGTACTTCCAAGTCTTCCTCGTCAATAGCCATCGTTCTTTCGGCTTCTTCTTTCTCACCGATCTTCCCATACTTAAGGAATACTCGGTGCTTTCAGTGGAGGCGCTGCGGCCGAAAGTTTTCCTTTTGGTGCTCCCTTTTTCCGCCATGATTATCTGAGCTTGAGCTTTATTTCAGCTGGTTAGTTCATGTTGTTTTGGGACTTTTGGCACGAGTGCAGTCGGAATGCATAAAACCCTCTCAATCTATGGGATCCAGTAGTAAATATGTCACCGCCGGTAACAAACAATTGGATGAAATAAAATGTGGATAAATGTTGGCAACAATTTTCGAACGAGAAAACGTGGGCTGTCTGGGAATTTTTTTAGTCGGCCAGCTGACAGAGCGTGGTAAGCTGAAGGTAAATAGATATGGCAGTTGCTGCTAACCCATTTTTTTCTTAGCTGTTTGCTGCTGTAGCCCTGTCCAATCTACTATCTAGTTGCTGCTGGAGTTTCCTTTTCAGCTGAAAGTTTTGAGTTGAAAAATGTCTTCTCAAAAAGCACCAAACTCCGTAAAATCGAGCACGAAACCGCACTGGTTCGCTAGCAGATGCACTTTTGAGGCACGCCGGTAACTGACAAGGTCGGTTTTTTTCAAAGTGAGTGAAAATTTGCACGGTCTACCCGCCGGACTGACTCAAAAAACTGCGAGACACCAACTTGGAAAAGTGGAATTACTTCGAAACAAAAATATCAGATTTTGGCAAGAGATACAGAGTAGTTTTCGCAATGTTTTTCAACGTAAAAATAGACGAGAAACTTTGTGCGGCTCAGTCTAGGGTGTATAACCGCCAAACCGAAGCGTATTTAAACCTAAATGCATTTTTATTTTATTTAAAAACAATTACAAAATATGTTCAGTTGATCTAACTGACGTTCGCTGGGTAGCTTTCCTTGGGGTGGAACTTTTCCTTTAAAAAGCCACAAAGTGCTACTTAAGAATATTTCTCTACGACTCCATGATGTGACTATTTACCTCAAACATCTCAACCAAGAACCGCTCGTTTTTTCGCTTTCGTTCGTTCATTTTCTATCTAAAAAAATTGTTTTTATTAAATCTTTTTTTGAGCAATTTTGCAAGAACAGTTTGTACAGTGTTTTAAAATATGGATTTCGCATGGAGTCTGCTGATTCCGAGCTCGCGTTGGCTGCATTAATCTAAGTATTATGCATCTTCAGAGTTCGACCCGATCAAACCATCTCCGAAAACGCAAGCCACTGGTGCTTTGGAAACATCAGGAATAAATTCATTTCCTCGACGGCTCAAAAGCCCCAAAAAACCTAACCAGATTTTTGAGGTTCCAGTTGTGAAAAATATGCATTTTAAATGAGCAAATCAACAAAAAAATGCAGTAATTCCCAGACCCAATATCGTATTATATAATTTTTCCGCAACAGCCGCCACACATGGTCAAGGATTTTTATTTTTGTCCCAAATATCGCCGATTTGAATTTTTCTGGATATTTTCTTTCATGTGAAACAGGCTTATCCATAAATTGGTTTCGTCTATCCCATCCGGCGTTAGCTTTAGCAGGTTGCAAATGTAAACAGTTTTGTTGGCAATCGATAAATAATTTTACATTGTCTTTATCGGTTTCACTCACTTCCACTGTTAGTTTAAACATGAATTAGCCGAAGGTGCGAAATGTACAATAAGAGATTCTTAAACGGCCCCATTAAGTGTTAAAAATAAAACTGTTTGGACCGAAATTTAAATTCCGATATAACCTTGATAATAGACTACAATAAATAATCAAGATTCTATTTTCGTATCAATAAGTAAACGTGGATGTTTAAAACGATCCAACTAATAAAGATTTATTATAGAGAAAATATATGAGTTGCCAGTACTAATTTCAAGTTTTATTCAAATCAGTTCAGTACTCATAATCGCTCAATAAGAGTTAGACCAAGCAGCTAGAAAGACTGGACAACCTGGAATGGGATTAATCTAGCTGCGTTTGTTAATGTTTGCGGAAACTTGCTTAAACATAATAAACCTGCCTGACATCAGGCAATATTTATATTTGGGCAATTAGGCAGGTGGTTGATTTAGTTGATACATCACAAAGCCTTCTCCAAAACTTTAGCTTCGCAAGTTTATGCTTCGTATGAATGAATGAATGAGGAAAGTTCTTCATCCGGTTATAGCAATTTTTTCAATTCAGATCCACCTTTTGTCATTGCTTTTTTCTCGGCTTCTTATTTTTATGCACCAGCTCTAATTTCTACATTTGTCTAAATTCTGAGAAGCACTAAAATGAGGACATTTTTTATATTCAGTTGGTTTTTCACATGAAACCCAGGCAATTTTCGGTATTTATATTTTGGTCGAGAGATTTAAGGAAATTATTCTGGCAACAACTGGATTGCTGAAATAGTTCATCTGAAATGTGCGTTAAGCAGTTGTTTGAACTCATTATTCCTCAAAGTTCTTCAGAAAATCCTTTAGGATTTTCCTGCTAAAGCCGAATTTGTGGAATCCTGCATAAAGTGCCTTTGGCACTTAAAAGCGCACATTTCCCAGAGGTTTTCTTTCTTGTTCCTAATTTACGGCTTTTTGCAAGTGCCGGAAAGTGAACCTTTTGGTACATTTATTTTCGACTAATGTTCCCCGCAATGACACCCAAGACTAGAGAGTTTAACCAAAAAAAAACGATATTTGGCCCTGGATTCTTAAACCTGTTGACTTTGGAAATTTTTCATTTGTCTCAAAACCATTTGGTTTAAAATCGATTGGGTTCAACACTACCAATCAGGCCTTCTAGTTTGCAAAATTCGTTGCTTTATCAAGCACTACGCGATTGCTTGGCCGAGGCGTAAACCTCGCTATAAATAGCGAAAGCAAAATATTATTTTTCATAAGACTCCGACATGTTTTGATTATAAAAAAGCAAAAGTATAAAATATTTCCTATGAAAAGTTTATGCTCGGGACTGTTGATACAGTCGGATATTTATCTTTATTTCGTTCGCTCCTCTGTCAAATCGAAATCGCCAACTAATTTCCAGACTTTTAACATGCACATGAGAGCTTTTCTTGTGCCAGCTAAACTAAATTCCATAACGGTTTTGAAAAAAATTGCTAAATTCAAACATCAACAAATTTATTTAGTTTTAATTAACGAAAGCCAATTTTTAATATTTGCAATAATTTTTTTATATTACGTAGTGAATTAGGTTTGATGTGTAACTGTGTGCAAACGTTCAATTTTAAACTAGCTTTAACTTATCTTTTTAAGTTAAGGCAAAAATCAGTTTCCTTCACAATTCTAATGAAATTGACATAACTTTTAGATTAACCTGTTTTCTACAGATGGGTAAAATTTAAAGTTGTTAGTACTTTGCAGTCAGCAGGTCGGGATTTTTAAATGAGTCCGTGTCATTGGGTTAATACATCCCTTTTTTCGGTCAGGATAGACTGAATTGAAAAAATCCGCATTCAGGGCGATTTTAATAACAATCTCCAAACTGTTAGAGAGAAGTGTTGTCCATAGATGGGCAAAATTTCAAGTTGCTCCTTGAGCGCGTTCGAAAGATACGAATTTTTAAAAGCACGCGTGTAAGTGTGTGACAATTTGCATTTTAGGCTCGCATAGACTTAAGTGGCAAAAATCGTCATTGACTAGGATTCCTATGAAATCCATACCAGTTGTAGATGGGCGTGTTGGCAATTGATGGGCAAATTTTAAACTTCTACATCCAACATCAACGGTATCAAAAGATAGACAGTCTTCAAAGAGCGCGTGTTATTGTGTGACAACTTTCATTTTTAGATCAGCATAGACTTAATTGGTAAAAATCAGAATTATTTACCATTCTAGTGGAATTCGTAAAAAATTTAGACTAAAGTTCTTGCTATGGATATTTCAATTCAATTTCAAGTTGCTCGTTTTAAAAGAGCGCGTGTAATTGAGTGAAACATGCATTTTTAGGCGACCATAGACGGTTGCCTAAAATCATCATTCACCACAATTCTAATGAAATGTGAAAAAAAAACAACTTTTCGACTGAGAATTTTTCTATAAACGGGTAAACTTTCAAGTTGAACCTCGAGCGTAATCGAAAGATGGGAATTTTTAAAAGAGTGCGTGTAATTGTATGATAACTTGCATTTTTAGATCACCATAGACTTAAATGGCAAAAATCAGGATTATGCACAATTTCAACAAAATTCACAGTCCTTTTAGGCTGAGATATCTTCTATAGGTAGGGAAAATTTCAAGTTGCTCTTTGATCGCGATCAAAAACCGCACATTTTCCAAAGAGCGCGTGTAATTGAGTGACAACTTTCACTTTTAGATCAGCACATACTTATCTGGAAAAAATCGGTGTTCTTCACAATTCGCACATCTTTTAGATTAATGTGCTTTCTATAGATGGAGAAAATTTCAAGTTGCAACTTCAGCTCAATCAGCAGATCGATATGTTTAAAAGAGCGTTTGTAATTGTATGATCTCTTGCGTTTTTACGGCAGCACAGACTTAATTGGTAAAAATCAGCATTCTTCACGATTCTAATGAAATTTGCACCACTTTTATACCGAGGTATTTTCTATGGAATCTTTAAAACCGCGTGTAATTATGTGGAAACATGCATTTTTAGGCCAACATAGACTTAGTTGCCTAAAATCATTATTCACCCACTATTCTAAGGAAATTCAAATGACTTTTAGATTGAAGTGTTTTCCATAAATGAGTAAAATTACAAGTTGCTCCTCGATTGTAATCGAAAGATGCGAATTTTTAATAGAGCCCGTGTAATTGTGTGAAAACATGCATTTTTGGACCGCATAGTCTTAGTTGCTTAAAATCAGCATTCACCACTATTCTAATGAAATTCACAAAACTTTTAGATTGAAGTGCTTTCTATAAACGGCAAAAAATTCAAGTCGCTCCTCGATTGTAATCGAAAGATGCGAATTTTTAATAGAGCGCGTGTAATTGTGTGAAAACATGCATTTTTGGACCGCATAGTCTTAGTTGCTTAAAATCAGCATTCACCACTATTCTAATGAAATTCACAAAGCTTTTAGATTGAAGTGTTTTCTATAAACGGAAAGAAAATCAAGTTGCTCGTCGATTGCAATCGAAAGATGGCAATTTTTAAACGAGCGCGTGTGATTGGGTGAAAACATGCATTTTGGCCTGCATAGTCGTAGTTGCCTAAAATCAGCACTCACCACTATTTTAATTAAATTCACACGCCTTTTAGATTGAAGTGTTTTCTATAAATGGAAAAAATCTCAAATTTCTGTTCAAACTTGTCCCTTTGGTACCATAGCAGAAATTCAAACACTTTTTGCTCCATAATAAATCAGTCAAAACCTACACGTCCAAAATTTGATTGCATTTAAAACTGCCCATAACTTTTTTATTTGGGCTCGATGTCCCGTAAACTCGCCAGTTAAATTGCTAATGAAATATGCCTAAACAATATCCAGACGCCGAATGTGCATGCTTCAAAGTGCCAATTTCAATTTTTTTTTATTAAGCGAAGCTACAGGGTGAACAAACTGCAAAAAATTATTTTATTCTGAAATTCATGGCGTTGTAAATAGATTTGTATTCGAGAAATGCATTTTGATTTTTGTGGGTTGACGTTTCGCACGCACGTGTGGCTTGCATCTTCAGATGTGGTTGCTGCAAATCACCAAGGAAATTGATATTGAGCAATTGCAATCAAAACTCTTGTAATGTGGAGTAATTGTATTCGAGTCCCGATCTGGAGCAAATCAAACAACCATCTAAGTAATGCTAAAAATACATGGCGAGTCTAAGAGACCTCGCTCAGATATAAACACGGGGTGCCAAGCGAGATGCTAAAATTAGCCCAGTTTATTAACTTTGTTGTAAAAATCCTCTTACGTCATAGTATGGCGAAAATAGCCGGCCAAGCCTTTTTATAAGACACGTTTCTGCGCCAACTAATGCGAGAAAGGGACTGATGATGAGATCATCGTTGCAGAACACTCGCGCATCTCATTCTTTGAAAAATTCGAACTCAAAATACAGAATTGATTTCGAATGCTCACGACTAGCAGGAAAATCAAGAACAGTCAAATCTGGCAAACTCGCTGGCCATGCAAGTGGAAGAAGCTCCTGAGTGTGTTTTGCTGCAAACAAAACTAGACTTTGATGATTTTTTTCAAGAACCACTGAAAATTTTACATTTCCAGAACTTCCTCCAATACCGCTCTGTTTCCCCAAAAATCCTCCCACATTTCGTTGAACGCAAACTGTTTGATATTGGTTGTCTCAAAGCACCAATGGGGGCACCACAAGTCAGCTCGATTTTCAATTTTGTTCAAAAATGTTCCTGGATCCTAACGAAGTTTCCGGCAGAGGTCAGGATCAGAATTACTTACTTATTCGAAGCGCAATTGCTGCTGATTTTATTTTTATAGATCACTGTTTCTGTTTGAGTTAATTATTTAACGGATGTATTCATAGGTGGCAGAAGTACGCTAGTTTCCAGTTTATAATTTTGATAATACCTACTGGAGAAGGAAAAATTTGCTGAGGTAATTGTTCCTCATTTTCTCCAAAAAACAACTGAGAAATTGAGAATTTTAGAGCAAAATTGGCCATTTTAAGTCTGGTTGGTTAATTTTTATTTTTTTTTAGCAAAATCAGTCGTTTTTGTCATTTCTATGGAAAAAAATGTTAAATGTCGCCATAGCAGTCTTCAGCAGTTCCAGACTATGACAAACCAAATTGAGTTCAGAACGATCACTTAAAAATCGCTCTCGTTTTGAGGCATGAACCGTTTTGGAGGACGAGCGTATTTATTGTTCTTTCATATAGTTAAATAATTGAAATTGTTTCAATCCAGTTTCTTTTATTGTTGATAATA